CATGTGATGAGGACAGGGCATCATAAACACACCTTAGGTGGTGCTACCTTTTTACAGAAAAAAAAACGTTCGAGTTACACTGAAAATTTTCAGCGTCCTACATGTAGGACACTGAGCGCATGTAGGACACTCTCGCTCCGCAGCACACGGTGTTAACCACAAAGCCACGAAAACGCACGCCCTTCATCGTTCAAGCAGAGAGCTGTTCATAAACATCACCGCTGGCGGAGAGAGAGAGTAAAACTTTATTGAAGGGGAAAGGGAGAGGGGCGTTTTAGAGCCTTTATGGTTGGGGCCCTACGTCCAGGGCTCCACTGGCCTTAGCCGCCCGCCGGACTTGATCCAGTAGTGCGAGCTGCACTCCTGGGTCCGAGCTAGCGAGGTGTGCCTCCCACTGCTCCATACTAGGTGTTAAAGGTTCGCCGAGAAAATTGGTTATGTCACTTGGTTTACGATCGCACCCCCACGATATGTGGTAGAGAGTCGGTCTTCCGCCGCACCACGGACATACAGCCGGGTAAAGAGTTGGATGTATCGCCTGCGGACCTCTTGGGCTACGTCGACCAGCTCCTCATCAATGTGCTGTGGGTGGGGCGAAATTCCTATTCTAGTGAGTATCGCCCTGCCTGCTGAAGTTTCACTTAGACGATTCCTCTGAGACATGAGGACTGCGGCACTGAGCTCAGCATAAGTGTTATGTATACCGAGAGCTAGGAGCCGCTCGGTCGGTGTGCTGGTGGGTAGACCAAGTGCTGCCTTAAAAGCGCTTCTAATGAGCACATCCACCTGGCTCTCCTCACTTCTGTCGAGTGAGTGGTACGGTAGGCCATACGTCACTCTGCTCAAAACTAAGGCCTGGACAAGCCGGAGAGTATCCTTTTCTTTCATGCCTTTTTTATGATAAGTGATGCGACGGATCATTCTAGCTATCTGTTTAACCGTAGTCTTTAAGGTGGTTATCGTGTGACTGGCTTTGCCATTGCTTTGGACCCAGAAGCCAAGTATACGGGCCTGAGTAACCTCGGCTATGGCATGGCCGTCTACCTGTAAGTTTATGGCACCGTTACTTTTGTAATACTTACTGTGTATTCTTATGAGTTCAGATTTTTCAGGCGCACAGCTCAGCCCACTATTTCTTGCGAACTCTGCCACAGCTGTCGCAGCAGCCTGGAGGGTCTGCTCTTTCAGCGCCAGTGAACCCTTCGTAGCCCAGAGTGTGATGTCGTCCGCATACAATGTATATCCAAGGTGCGGGATTGCTTCGAGCTCGTGGGCAAGTCTGCGCATAGCTATGTTAAAGAGCAAGGGGGAGATGACTGCCCCTTGCGGTGTGCCTTTATTTGGCATCGAGAACGGCACCGACCTCGTGTCGCCTATCCCAATAGTTGCCGTCCGCCCAGAGAGGAAGGATTTAATGTAGTTAAATGTACGCTTTCCGCAGCCGATTGTGTTGAGTTCAGAGAGAATGGCCTCGTGCGAAACATTATCAAAGGCCCCTTTGAGGTCGAGGGCCAAGACCAAATGTTCGCCTCCCCTGGGTACGCAACCGCTGGCGGAATATTATGTCGGGGCAAATATCAGCGTGTTCTCAGCATTAACAGTGAAAAGGCGCAAAGGGCATGCTCGATGCCCCGCTCGTAGAGACGCGCGCTCATGCGCCCATTTTAAACGCGTATTTTACCCCGCGGCGGGTAGACGCACGCAGGCGCACGCGAGCGCTTATCTCGCGGTGGAGGAGCATTGTACGTCTTGCGCTTTCACCAGAACGATTGCGTTGTAGCTCACAGGCAAGATTACAAGGGTATGGATTTCACTTCGCTGGCTGCAGTGTGGCCGTTTGCCAAAGGAGAATGCTTTTCAAACACAACTGTGACACTGTTCACGCTCGTCTGTCCTGTGAGTACACTGCTTGCGTCCTTCTTGTTTGAGCAGCACGTCAAGCGTCGAGATGTGAACGTTCTTAGTTCACTCTCGTCCTGAGTGTCTTGTTTTCGTGCGTCATTCTTGCGTGGGCAGCGCACTGAACGTTTTGACCTGCTTTCCATTTTTCCCGTAATATTCCTAATTTTGCTATATCATACTTCTCCCTGCGGCAAAACTATCACTTTTAACTATGAATCATGATTCTAGCTATTTTGCCAGCATTGATACAGCCCCATGCAGTGTCGACAGTGAGGTGCCGCCCAGAAGTGACGCCATACGTGACGTCTCTGCAAGGGTCACGTGACTGAAGAATTTGATGGCGGTCGTAGTTCATCTCTTTGTGGTGTTCAGCATATGTCAACGCGTGGCAGTGCCAGCATGGCGGGATGCTAGGTCTGTGACTTTCCTTCTTTTTTATCGGTACGTAGCACGTAGACTAGGTTGTTCAAGGAGAAAAGCTCACAGTTACCCGGCCACTTCTTCGTGACGTTGAAGCAGGTTATTCATATGAGTGAATGTGCTAGATGAGTGCCAGTGCGCGAAGAATCCGCATTTATTGCGTCACCAAATATTTATTCGTGCATATCCCATTTTAGGCAAACGCGTATACTTTAATGTTTCTTGTGCTCTTATCACCCCGCATTGATATATGACCTTGAATTACACGTTGAAAAGGATTTTGATGGTGTTTTCAAAGTGCCTATAAATGCCTAATTTGGAGTTTGTGTCTAAATGGTTATCAGGGCCCACAAATGCATATTTTTGAAATCAGTACATATTTGAACACTATTCAGCCTCAGTTCTTGGTTTCAAGTGCAGTTTGAGCCCGCTATTTATGAAAACGGCCAACAGTGACTGTTTATAACTCTATTGGATTGATTCTAGTCCTCAAGTTCAATGAACTCCCGGAAAGCGGCCACTAACGACGCGCTGGCCAGCATGAGCCACCACTCTTACATGACACGGGCGGTTGGCGATGTGAGACTGTGTAAAGTAGACCCGGCTGGGAAAGGTGAATGAAGAGCAAAAAAAAAGAAAAAAATGTGTGATGGGCGCGTAACTTTTTCATTTGTAATTCACAGTTTATGGTGCTCCATGCAAGGAGAGGCATATGACCATTGAAGGAATGTTCCTGCTCTGCCCCTGTCAGTCATGTCAAAAAGAAAGCCACCCAGGTGGCTCTTGATTTCGACAATGGATACTCGACCCTCCACGCTACAGAATAAACGGTGTGGCTGTGTTCAGCAAATCGCACTAGGCCAAGGACAATTGCCGGTCTATGCTCTTCTGCTGGCTCTTTGACAATAAAAAAGCAACCGCCTTTCTGGATTTCCTGTCGTAAGCACTGGTGGGGCACGTATTTGCTTGAAATTATTTGCGTTTATGCGAAAGTTTTGTGTGCTTATATTTACAATTTTGGGAGTCCAAAACGTCGTCTTTTCAGGCCATTTTTGGCGATTAAAGCGCGTTTTATTCTATGCCGGAACATTCGGCCTCTAGTTATCAGTGTTACTACTAGCATGGACAACATGATACATAAAAGCGAAAATCTGCAAGACCAGCTTTATAATGCACGTGCACATGAAACAACATCAAGCGCAGACGTTTTTTTTTAATTCAGGGTGAAAAGCTCTTGATCTTTTCCTTAGGCGGAGCTGCATGGATAACACGTGAATGAAACTTCTACTTTCCTTTTTTTTTTAGTTTCATCGCTTGCTGGAAACAGCAAGGCCGCTAATGAAGGCAGATGCTTTTGGTGGAATACTGTTCTAATAAAAAATATTGGTGGGCACTGCGGATGGGCTCAGCCTTTTGGGCTATCGTCTGGTGCCTTTTATGGTACTGTTAAGGGCGGACAAACAAACAAATGAACAAATAGACAGACAGACCAAATTTTTTTGCCTCGAAGGTCCCCAAGAAAGACTATTGTTTTTAGAAAAAGAACTCAGCTTGCACCAGAATTTCAAGTTACAGTTATCCTCAGATCGCTCTTGTTTTCCAGCTCATCTGTTAAGAGACATCTACCTTGTCACCATGGTGAGCGTGCATCGTCCGGAAAGCAACAGGACAGTGACTAAAACTGCGTGTGCGACCCCCCCCCCCCCTCTTCCACGGCAGGCCCTAAACCCAAGGTGAGCACATGTTAGCTCTTCGCACAAATCTGCTGCGGTCCGTGCCGACAACGTTTTGCATGTTGATCTAGCTGCTCAGGCTGATCTATGTAATTATCTGATATTCTAGTTAATATCTAGGTAATTATCTTGTTAATTAGGATATCTAGTTAATTTTCTGAAGTTTCTGGGTCGTTATGTGCCAGAACCACGGTATGCTTAAGGCAGGGAACCAGTACGTGCAGCGTAACAGCGGTGGGTTGGGCTTGACTTGTACCCAAATGACAGGCACGTCTAAAACCTTTGTAGCCATTGTAAAGCAGCTTAAAAACGAAGAAAAAACACCTGTATGTAGCAACAAGAAGCATGGGCCCTTCCAGCACCGATAATGTGTTGTCTTCTTCCTGGGTCTGCGTGTTTTTTTTTTTCGCTATTCTACCATGCGTTATACTAATTGATTTGTGGAGTTTAACGTCCCTAAACCACGATATAATTATGAGAGACGCCATAGTGGAGGGCTCCGGAAATTTAGACCACCTGGGGTTCTTTAACGTGCGCCCAAATCTGAGCCCACGGGCCTACAACATTTCTGCCTCCATCAGAAATGCAGCCGCCGCAGCTGGGATTCGATCCCGCTGCGGGATCGAATCCCAGCTGCGGGATCGATTCCGCAGCAATTTTAACGTGAGACCACGTGGGCATGTAAAACATCTTCGAAGTCAGCTCGTTATTTTAAAAAAAAATGCTCTTGGTCATTTTGATTGAAGGTCTCTTGGGAATACTTTGGTAACATTCGCGTTCAAACAACTAGACGTAATTGCCAGTTGTAAGCGAGAATGCCCGCTAAAGCGTTTTGTGGTAAATCTTACGAGAAGCGTTTGTTGGCCTAATCGAAGAACAGGTCGAAGTTAGACTGCGGCTCTTATGTTTAGGACGCGGCAAAAGCTCATGGGGACTGCTCTGAACTTGTGTAGCTTGCACTCAAAATCTTTATTCCAAAGCAACCACATTCAGTGATACTGATGATGTTTGGCTCCGAAAAATAGCGCGTGCATTGTTGGACTGTAGATGCATTGTCGTCAAGTTGTTCTGAGGGATAAGAACCATTCTTTTTTGTGTTTTTTAGGCGATTTTGATAGCACCGACAGTACACAGGCTCAAATTTAACGAACGTACTTACCAACTTCCTTCGACGGTCTTTGCGCGAGAGGAACAGTGCACTATTACAAACATTTCTATGTGACACATTAAAGAACCTGTACGCTGTTTTATGAAAGAGTAAACAACAATGCTGAGGTGAATGAACGTGAGAAGGTCCAGCGAAAAGCGCGCAATAGTTTTACGATCTGCTGCAGCGTCTAAGAACAGCGAAAACATGCACTAAAGATAACGTTAACAGAATTCTATTGATGAAAGAATCACCGTAAACGTCTTAAATAGAGAGGAATTATGCACGAAGTATAATTTCTCAACTATTTTCAAAACCGATGTTAGCGTGAGGATGTTTGATGAAGAGTATTACAAACATTTAAATGCGGCATCAATGAACAGCTCTGTATTGCATTAAAAAAATGAATGAAGAAAACTACACAAGAAAGGGTCAACGGCAGACGATCGTTGTTTTCAACCTGCCTCCTAAACTAAAAACAGCGCCTGCAGAGAACCATTTCTTCAAATCGCACGCTACGCTGTGTGGTCCATTATCTAAATAAATGCTTACTGTCCTTGTCAGAGACAAAACAACGTAAATGGGCCGCCGAACTGATCGTCTAAGACCATTTACGGCTCTCTAACACGTAATTTCTTAAGAGTAAGACGTGACGGTTGCTGTTTTTGTGTGGCCTCTTATACTTCATTGGATGTGTCCTGAACGGGCTTGCCACGAGGTCCCACTGAAAATTTTGATTGCACGTTAGAAGGCAATGTTAATAGGATTTCGTCAAAATACCAGACAAGTTAAGATAAAATTAACAATTTATGATAAGACTGTAAGTGATTTGAGAGCCGGAATGAAGGGTAATATTTCTTCACTCCTGCCGTCGAACCACTCATACCGCTCCGACACGCTGCAGCAACAGGTCCAGCAGACACGTTTGAAATATGCGCCTTGACTATTAACGCCCAAAAGACGGGATTTACAGTCTGTATTAACGCTTTCTCTCTATACAACAGTAGTTTGCAACCGAGAAGCACTATAACAGCTGTAGTGAGCACTTCATCATAACGTGACAAGCCCGCCTCCCCCCCTCTTCTTTTCTCTAATTTGGCTTGTGAAACACATGTGTTGAGGTCTTGCATTGACCGAAGAAGTGGATTCGCGGGTCGTGGCCAGTGAAGTTACAAATAACGGCTGTGACGAAAGCAATATCTTCTATAACCAAGAGCGTCTCCCGTGAGAAAGAACACAAGAACGTCAGTTTAAAAATTCGACCTATTTTCCGCCACGAAAGCGTGTCGTACTCTGCAGATAACCACCAACGACCACCACCGATAACTACCGAATAATCTTCGTGCCGGGCTAGTTCCTTTGTAACATTCAAACACTTTAGGTTCGCACTTCGAAACTGTGGGTGATTTCTGTCGTTCAATTATCCCAGTCATGTTATGGTAACCATATCGATGCACGTTTTGACGACCAGCAAGAGCGCCTTCATGCTCTTAGTCACTTCATCGTCCAGCGCTTGCTGCGATGTCTGGACATTGGACGTCGAACGGCAAGGCTCCAGCGTTTCTTGCCATCGCGTAGAACGCCGAAGTTGTGTCCGAGAGCAGCGTCTTCACCGGCCCGTACTCCAGAACGGTACCCTCCGACATCACAAGAATTCTGAAGCGACAAAAAACAAAAAACATGTGCTTTCAATCACAGAGCCTTGTTGCTTTGAATTGAATGATTCAATAAGAGCAAGTGCAGTAAATGTCGACGTGCTGTCGTGTTATGTTCGTTACACTCGAGTAATGAAAAGTGTGGAAAGCCCCGACTGTACGATTTTTCGCAAGTAGCTTGCCATGTTAGTAGAAATATATATGTACTCCAAAATGTGTCACACACTAGGATGCTGTCGTGCCCACTCATTTGCTCATTATTTTTCATTATGCGAACGTTACGTCGTCTGGTGGTCATGCATCAATTTCCGACTGGCGACCAAGAAAGCAACCGATGTTCACACCTGCGTGTGACTGAAACCCGTCGCCATGCAGAATTCAAGTCTGCTCACGTACCCCACGCATTTTCATTTCCCTGCAAAAATAAGCTGTTCCTGCCCCCTGATTCATTCAGACGTTCGAAAGTGTAGTGGCGTGATGGAAGAATTCAACAGCGTGCGAGTGAGCTAAAACAGTTGCTTTGCGGTTAAAAAAATTCCCCTCGTGACCAACGACAAACCAGTTTGTGACTAGCTGAATTGGTCGCACGACCGGTGCTAGTCCAAGGTGTGAACCAGTGTTTACCATAGAGTTTCCTAAAATTAAACTAGAGGGACTCTGGCGCTGCGACTGTTCATGGACCTTGGAAATGATGGGTAGTACACGGATTTGCCTAGTCTTTGTACTTGCGGGCAGCGAATCTCACTTCCGGCTTCGTTTATTACTGGTTTTGGTTTTCTTTTAAACAAGACATAACGAGATATTTTCAATCTTGTGGCCCGATTCGAAATAGTAAGCCTAAAAGAAAAAGGTAGCGAAGCGCAATGGCTGAGCATTTGTTGATTTTTGTTTCGTGAGAACAGAGTTATAAGTCACATGAACACACACAGAGTCAAAAACAGGCCAGAAGTACGAAGATGAGACAAATCTGTGTACTACCCATAATTCCCACGCTCGATGAAGCGCCATGCGTTGCAGCTCCCATAGACACTAGCCCCAGAGTTCCTTCTAGTGTATATTAGCAAGTTCTGTTATCTTAGCGTGCGTATCGCTTGGCGAAGCTCATTTACATATCTTAAAAACACAGTAGTGAAACTCCCGGTCACTGTTAGAAGAAGCACAACCACGTGACCTGAGAAGTGACGTCGTGTATGACGTCACCAGTTTAGCGGCACGTTGCTGGGGCTCTTCTGATCGCAGTGATTCTGGCCAAATATTGAGAATCATGTAGGGCCATGGCGTAGGAATACCTTTTTTTAAAATCTGCAAACTATTTGGTGTATATTGCTAGTTCACTGTTTGTATGACAAAACCAGGTTGCTTCTCCAGTCCATATCTTTGCTCTTCCATTTATGTCTACGGCGATTGGCAAGCTTTACTAAAACTCACCGAGCACTTTATGCATTCACTTCAGACGACTTCAAAGGGAAAGCCGTATTTTTCGTGTCCGTCAGTGCACTGATACTGTCCTGGCACATTTCGAAAGATTATTGCCCCTAAAGAGGTTTCGCATTGCTTCCGAGATCGGAGGCAGCTTCTTAGGTTCTCATTGCCTCCGTGATCGGACCACGTTTCACTAAGCTATGGTGTCGTATGGTGACGTCTTCGCGTGACGTTATTTCATGTCGCAGTGACGTAACGACAATCTTATATTTACGTCACACATTTGTTCAAAAGTGACGTCATAATGACGTCATGTGATGACGCCATTGTGTGACATTACTTCATGTCACAGAGACGTAATGGTGATTTTATAGTGACGTTGCAAATTTGTCGAACTGTGACGTCGTCATAAATTCTTGTGATGACGTTATCGAGTAATGGTGATATCTATTCGTCACTCACCCCCGACACTGTGGGAATCCGATGGTCAAATTTCACGTTTGATGAGGCATCGAAGGTGCTTTTGCTTTAATCAAATCGTTTAATAGTAAAAAAAGCAAGTGAAAGAGCAGTACTTTAAAAAGATATTGTTACGCGACGTCGGACAGAAAGAGCATCATAGACGACCAGGACGATGAAAGCGACCATGCTCGTGTTGTTGTTGCTGCTGTTCTTCCATCTTGGCTGCAGCTGCCTCTGACTCTCCCTGTATATTTTATAAATATATTTATTTCATTTATTCTCTCAGCCCCGTAACATTTGGTGGAAGTGCGGGGTACAACACGATATAATGGAGCTCCGTAGTGGCCGACGCTTGGATTTTTCCACCATGGCCAATCAGGGACTGGCTCCCGCCGAGGCGACTACAACAACTGTTGTCCTTCCGCAGCTAAAAGATCCTGGCACGTTCTGTGGCACGGATGATGTCGACATCGAAGAATGGTTGCCGTTGTACGAGCGTACAAATAAGAATTACCGCTGGGATGAAACTCTTATGTTAGCCAATATTCCTGTTCTATTTGAAAGGAACAGCAAAGGTGTGGTTCGAGAACCACGAAGATAAAATTGGAAGCTGGGATGCGTGCAAAGAAAAGATGCGCGCCCTTTTCGGCAAGTCTGTGGGTAGAAAGGCAGCGGCCAAGAAGGAGTTGGCATCTCGTGCGCAAACGTCATCAGAGTCTAACGTGACTCACATACAGTACGTGCTTGACCTTTGCCGAAAAGCGGACAACGGTATGGAAGAAACCAAAAAGTTAGCTCACATATTGAAAGGAATTGCAGATGATGCATTCAACCTTCTCATATGCAAGGACTGCAACACGGTCGATGCCATCATCAAGGAGTGCCAGCGTTTTGAGTCCGCAAAAAGTCGACGTATCGCCCATAATTTCACTCGACTACCAAACACAGCGGTAACCTGGTCGTGCGAAGACAGGCTTGCGCTACAGACGCCGTTAACTGCAGAGCACGTGACGAAGATCATCAGACGTGAACTTGAAGCTCTGTCTCCTGCATCCACGTGCTCCCGTGCCTGTGACTCTAGCCCTCAGATGGTACCACTGGTACATGCCATTGTGCGACAAGAGCTTTACAATGCTGGACTGGCCTCCGAGTGCACTACAGCTCCCTCTCAGCCGATCAACCGTCGTCCACCCCATGTTTCGTATGCCCAAAGCCAAAACTTTCCGGCGCACCCTCGCAATCCAGCTGAGTGGAGAACTGCTGATGATCGCCCGATTTGTTTCAACTGCCACCGTATCGGACACGTGGCCCACCATTGTAACACTCGGTGGTATTGGCTACAGGCATCCTACGGGTACCCCCATCGGCCAGAGAGGGATCATGGACGCTTTCAAACTTACCGGTGTCAACTCAGGTCACCAATGAAGACGTTCCTTCTATGCCGCCATATCGTCGTCGCTCTCCATCTTCGCATGCTCACCAGTCCCGTTCACCGCTCTACCGTCGCCCATCGTCTCGCTCGCCCCAATTTCGCCAACAAACGTCGCCGACTGACCACCTGCCACGGGAAAACTAGATGATGCAGCTCCCGGAGGTGATGCTGCATTGACCATTTGCCCGCCAAATCTTCTGACCATGCTGCCGACTCGACGCAACCTTATTGACGTTGAAGTAGATGACACACCCGTTGTTGCACTGGTGGACACATGGGCTCACATATCAGTGATGAATTCAGAACTTCGTTGCCGCCTTAGGAAATTTTTAATTCCACCCACAGTGCCACTCATCCAGGTCGCCGACGGCGGCACGTTTGCCGTGCTTGGAATGTGTACCGCGCGTATAAGTGTGGCTGATTGCTCCACGACAGTGCTATTTGCTGTGCTCGAGAAATGTTCCCATGAACTTAACCTCGGCATGGACTTATCCTCGGCATCCGCCCACTCTGCTCTTATTGATTGTGGAACCGGCATGCTTCAACTTGATTTACCGTGCTACCACGACGACCCAACACCAGCTCAACCCCGTCTGTGTTCTGCAGATCACGTTCGCCTAGCACCTCAAGCCATTACTTACGTGGACCTGAGATCTGTCCCTCCTGTTCCCGATGGTGACTACATGTTGACACCTATTGCTGACGTTCTGCTGGCCAAAAATGTTGCCGTGCCTCACACACTTTTGACAGTCACGGGAAATACAGCATCTCTTCCGATCCTAAACTTCAGCTGGTGCACTCAAGTTATCCCAGATGGTATGACTTTGGAAAAAGTTTTTTCTATAGATGCTGCCATTTCGGCGTTCGTTGCCAAATCTTCGTCGTCCTCTGCTCCGTTTTCATCCTCGAAGAGCGCAGCGGATGCCACTATCGATAAGATGATCGCTCCGGACCTTCTTCTAGCGCAGACAGCTGACATCCGGCACCTGCTGAAATCCTACCGCGACATCTTTGATTTTGATGACCGCCTCTTTGCGTCAGACATCCTTTATAACTTATAGGACTTAACACTGGAGACGCCAGCCCCATCCGACTGACGTCCTTATCGCGTGTCTGATGCTGAGCGACAAGTTATCCAGCACGAAGTTGAAGAAATGCTTCCAAAAGACGTCATCGAACCTTCCTGCACTCCATGGGCATCGCCGGTCGTGCTAGTCAAGAAGAAGGATGGCAGCTGGCGCTTCTGCGTAGACTACCGTCACCTAATCAAAGTAACACGTAAGGACTGTGTATCCACTGCCACGGATTGACGATGCTCTCGACTGCCTACATGGGTCTGCCTACTTTTCATCTATCGACTTGCGATTAGGATACTGGCAAATTTATGTCGATCATCGAGACCATGAGAAAACCGCATTCATCACACCGGATGGACTTTTCCAGTTCAAGGTTATGCCATTCAGGATTGTGTAATGCGCCAGCTACATTTGAAAGAATGATGGACTCTCTCCTGCGAAGATACAAATGGACCACGTGCCTGTGCTATCTCGATGACGTCATCGTATTTTCACCTACATTCGAAAGCCACCTTAGCCGCCTAACGGCTGTTCTTGAGGTTTTCGGAAAGCAGGACTTCAGCTCAACTCTTCCAAATGTCGCTTTGGCCGTCGGGAAATCACTCTACTCGGCCACCTTGTCAGTGCTCGAGGCGTGCAACCTGATTCTGAGAAAATTTGAGTTATCGAAGATTTTCCCATACCACGTTCCGCAAAAGATGTACGGAGTTTTATCGGCCTTTCTTCCTACTTTCGACGTTTCGTGAAGAATTTCGCTGACATTGCCCAACCAGTTACGGAGCTACTGAAGAAGAACATGCCTTTTTATTGGGGTACTGACCAAGCAATTGCCTTCAGCACCCTTACAACATTACTTACTTCCCCACTCATCTTGGCCCATTTCGACCCGTCAGCCCATACTGAAGTTCGTACTGATGCCAGCGGACATGGAATTGGTACTGTTCTTGCCCAGCAGCAACGAGGACAAGATGGCGTCATTGCTTATGCCAGTCACCTCCTTTCTCCTTTGGACAGCAAGTTTTCCATTACATAACGTGAGTGCCTCGCACTAGTCTGGGCAGTTGGAAAAATTCGACCATAGTTATTTGGCCGCACCTTTTCGGTAATTACAGATCACCATGCCTTGCGCTGGCTGTCGTTCCTTAAAGATCCAACAGGACGACTTGGCCGTTGGGCCTTGAAACTACAAGAATACAGCTTCGACGTGGCATACAAATTTGGCCTGATGCACCAGGATTCCGACTGTCTATTCCGTCACCCCGTGGACCCACCTGACCTTTCAGCACATGATTTTGACCCTTGCGTCTTCGCCACGTCGGCTTTCACCTACATACGCAAGGAATAGCTCAGCGATGTCTACTTGTGGTCTATCATGCAGAGTCTACGCTTGCCCCACGTAGACCCGTCGCTACACTTGTTCGTTCTACAAAATGGCATTCTTTACCGACGCAACACCAGCGCTGAAGGACCAGAGCTACTACTCGTAGTTCCTGCGACACTCCGTTCCGCTGTACTTGAACAGCTTCACGACGCCACAACCGCGGAACATCTCGGGGTCACGTACACGTACGATCACGTGCGGCGTAGATTCTTCTGGCCAGGCCTTTACCATTCTGTGCGCCGATACATTGCTGCATGTGAGTCCTGCCAGTGCTCCAAACATTCCACCTTGCCACCAGCTGGTCCGCTCCAACCAATAGACATACCCACCGTTCCCTTCTACCGCGTCGGTCTTGATCTCGTCGGACCATTTCCTACTTCTCTCACTGGAAACAAGTGGATAGCCGTAGCAACTGATTACGCCTCAAGATACGCTATCACACGAGCGCTACCGACAAGCTGTGCCACTGAAGTTGCGGACTTCTTGCTTCATGACGTAATTCTTCACCATGGCGCTCCTCGACAGCTGCTGACTGATCGTGGTCGCTCATTTCTTACAAAAGTAGTAAGTGACATCCCTCGCTCGTGTTTGACGCGTCACAAGCTGACTACGGCCTATCACCCACAAACAAATGGTCTTACCGAGCGCCTAAATCGAACATTGACAACAATGCTCTCCATGTACGTTTCCAAAGATCACCTTGATTGGGATAGTACTTTGCCCTATGTGACATTCGCGTACAATTCGTCATGCCACGATACCGCTGGCTTCTCCCCCTTCTATTTATTGTTCGGCCGCCATCCAGCCTTACCCTTCGAGGCTCTTCTCCCATCAACTATGCAAACGGTTACAGAGTACGCCCGGGATGCCACTGCTCGGGCTCAAGTGGCCCGCCAAATCGCACGGGAACGTCTTCTTGGCTCGCAGCTCACTCAGAAGGCCCGCTACGATAGCCATCACAGAGTAGTTTCCTACTCTCCAGGTTCATTTGTCATCCTCTGGACACTATGCCGCTACGTTGGCCTCTCTTCGAAGCTCCTGTCTCGCTACTCGGGGCCTTACAAGGTTTTACGCCGGCTTGCCGATGTCACATACGAGATTTCTCCGTTGGACAGTCAGTCATCGTCGTCCGCAACCGCTACTGACGTCGTCCACGTGACCCGCCTCAAACCGTACATATCCGCATATGACCTTACTCTCCTTTAGGCGCCGAGACGGCGCTGCCAGCAGCGGGGGGCTATATGTTACACCACGTCGGACAGAAAGAGCATCATAGACGACGAAGACGATGAAAGCGACCGTGCTCGCGTTGTTGTTGCTGCTGTTCTTCCATCTTGGCTGCGGCTGCCTCTGACTCTCCCTGTATATTTTGTAAATATATTTATTTCATTCATTCTCTTACCCCGTAACAATATATTACAATTTCGCGCAGCGAAGCGTAAATGCGCAGCATCGCTTCTGATTGTGACGTCATACCTCATTTTTTATTTCCGCTTGTTGTTGTCTGTACTATACATAAATCGTGACAGTGATGAAGACCCGCCAACTTCTTGACACGCAAACCAGAGCCATCGATGGTAACTGGAAATCTGATCTGGCTTTAATGAACAATGAAAAAAGACGTGTCTTAAAAGTAAGAAACTGGATAAAATTAATTGAGGGGGGTCGCGAAGAGACCGAATGAAACGGGCAACAGCTTCGCTGCCCGATTGGCTTTCAGGGCGTGAAACTGGCTAGACCTCTTGTATTCCACTCAATGCATCACTAGAAATTGGTGTGCCGTGCCTTCACATGGCGTTCTATTGCATTCGTGTGGCGAGAAAATAAAACTGGCGGAATCTCGGTCGGTCAATCAAAAATTCATTGTGGATCACTCACTTGTCGTAGTCGAGCACTGTGTGGATGCGGTGAGCGATGGCTATCACTGTGCACTCGGCGAAGGCGTCCCTCAGCGTGGCCTGGATTAAGTGGTCAGTGTCGCCGTCCATCTGTGACGTCGCCTCGTCCAGAACGAGAATCTTGGGCCCACGAAGCAGAGCACGAGCCAGACAGACCAGCTGTCGTTGACCGACGCTGCACAGAACATGTGACTGCTTAGAAGCACTCAAACGCATGAGACATTTTGACGAGTACAAAACGGAACCGGGGCAAGTGGCGTAATGCGCAGGATAGGTAACCAGTGGTCAGTGAGAGCGCAGACGTGGGTGCGAAAGGATGGAAAATGTAGCCGGGGAAGACAAATGCTAGCTTAATTGGGGGGGGGGGGATGAAAAAAATTCACAGACAAAATACATAGTCACCTCGCGCATGACAGGATCCGTTGGATGTCTATGGAAGATGCCTTCGTCCACAGGGGACATAAAATAGACTGGCGATAGATCAGTCATAATGTTTATGCTATTGCTGTGACGTAACGATTTAGTCTGTTAAACTCTATTCTGTTCCACATTACCATGAAGGTGCTAACGATCAACTTGTACAGACAGACGCGCACTGCCAGAGCGTGATGAGGCGTATCATCATCATTCCTCAGATATTATTTATACCAACCTTTGTGTTGACTATAACAATCCTTCATATGCTCAGAAATTTCTGAAACATTTAAAGTGGCAGAAGGCATGGCAGCTAGGAGGCACTACTTATATTTTGATTTACTTCAACTCGGACCAAATAACCAATTAACGAAATAAACTTCATGCAAGGATTCAGTGAACTGGGAGCGCGGGGGTAAACACAGACACAAAGCAAAGAGGAGGCACACAGCATGGGCGCTCAACTAACAACTGATGGTCCCGCGCTCCCAGTTTGCTGAACCATCTTGAATCACCAACTAGCCCACCTTTCCATCCTATTGCAATTCATGCAAGAAATAGTCTTGCTATTACTAGTCTTGCTGACGTAATATTTTCTACTGCGATGCAGCGAATTGTTAGCTCGTTATTCATTGCGACGCCTCCACCTGCAGCAAAGGCGTGACACTTCTACTTTGACAGCAGAATAAAAAACAATCGTGGCATGCTTCGAGCTGTGTTTATCAGCCATGCTTCAAGCAGTAGATATCAGTTTGAACGAAGGGCGCTGACTGATAACAGTTGTAATACTATACAGCAGTCATGGGGGCCACGAATTGCTTCGCCTTAGAAAAAGAATATTTGGGCACATGTGAGGTTGTTTGTGGAGGAAGGAATGCGCCTTGGGCGTAGCGCTGCTGTCGACCGGCCTTTCCCTAGCGCTACTGTCGCGCTGAAACAGATGGCCGCTCACTCGCATGATCCGAAACCTGAACGGCAGACTTTGCATAGACTGATATTATCGCACCCTCAAACTGATGCAATGCCAGTCTGGATGTCAAGATAGAATGGAGACGCTTATTCAACACAAATTCACAACATCAATATAGATTACAGAGAGGTCGCAGTTGCGACAGCTCGAGAGAGTGTGGATGCAGGGACAGTTCTACTCCGCCCATGTGCGGGTTATTTTCTGGTGTACTCGGTTGATTTGAAATAATGTATGCATAGCTGTTTAGATACCAGATAAAAAGTGGTCATGAATTCAATCGGGCGTTGACTTTTCCGAATGAGCACAACCATAGACTCACATACGCAAGCAAGATAGGCCGTAAACTCTGCAGTAGTACCACGAAATGGTCATCGCTATGAACGGTATTGGCGTTGATGCGAACGGTGCTTGAAGAAGGCTTAAATGGTTCTGACACTGCACCTGAGATTAGAGCCTCCGTCTCCTGTCTCGAGAAGCAGCCCCTCCTGTCGGCCAGCGACTACGTCGGACAGATGCGCCTGCCGGAGCGCTGTCCAGAGCTGCGCGTCCGAGTGACTTCGGGTAGGGTCCAGGTTGTCCCGAAGACTGCCACGCACCAGACTGGGGTCCTTGGAATTCATGAGAACGAAAGACAATCATTGGACTGCTAATACGGGACATATAATGAAGGCAAAATATATATTCAATTAAAAAGAAACGGCCGAGCTCTTTTGCGGGCAGTGAGCATAGTTAGAATCTTCAGTCCAGGACTCTATGAGCCGCGGCCTCCCTGCGCGTTCTCACCAACACATTGAGCTGGACCCTGGAGTTGATGATTCCCTTTGTTATATGGTTGGATGTGCTTTTATAAGTCCTACACTCATGATCGGAAACACTCCAAGGGGCACAGTGGAACATTGCTAAGGCAACAGGCAGTTATATTTGGTGTCCACAGCAGCTCTGCGTACGAAAGTGCCCTTTAGAAGTGGTTCTCGAGCTGCCTGCATAGGCGTGGCTGCAGTGGACGTCCAACTAAAATGGTCTATCATGAAAACACGGTTTCCAAGCTGGACAAAGACCAGATGAGCAGGACAAGCCCTACACATACGTTGTAAACCCTAATCGCACATCAGTATATTTTTTCTATGTCCTGTATCAAATCCTCGCTATACAGTTTTTAGGAATAAGAACCAACTAGCCAAGCAACAATTTTCGGAGGTCTCTGTTCTGTGATAAAGCCTATGACAATGTACTATGCGGGGAATATCATGCTGCAGCTTGTTGTCTTGTATGTCTGTTACAATTGAGCGATTGAGGTAGAAGTATAATGAATCTCACACACGCGTGGGCTTCTTGCCTGGCGGGTGCGTAATCACTTCGCTGCAAAACATTTACTTGCACATTGGTAACATTAAAATAAAAATTACGCGGGAAATAGTTTATACCTTGAATGTTCTTGCTCGCGAGTCTGGGGCGCCGCCTTTACAACTAAGCTGTCTATCTTCTGTCGTGGTCGTCACCGTGGTGGTAGTAGTAGAAATAGAATGGGTAGATGCCGCGCAGCTCACATGACTAATGAGGAGGGAGCGGAGAAACTCAAAATAAACAGAGACGTTGACGATGTTCCAGATGATGAAGCGATGGTAATCGTTATAATTGTGATGACTGGTGATTATGACAAATGACATTGATGAGGACAGCGATGTTTGAAATGGATCGAAGCTGTCTTATTCTACCCTTGTATCACTTGCACGCTTACATTTTTGCCTTCGTACGGTTTTTGTGGCGCGAAACAGGCAGACCTTTCTTCACTCTTTCTCACCTGTGGAATAACGGTGACGGCGGAGCGAAGTTTTCGCAGTGGCACTGTGGACACGTCCACACCATCGATGAGGATGCGGCCTCGCGACGCCCTCAGGACACGCAGCAAGGCCAGAACCAGTGACGACTTGCCGGCACCCGTACGCCCAACGACACCCACCTGCGCGGAACAGAATATACGCATAGCAGATGGCCGGTCGAAAAGCGCAAGGACTCTTGAGGAGACATAGAAGTGCAATAGTTGTCGACGCCAAGGAATCGCTAAGAAGAATCACATGGTCGCAAAGCTTGCTGTTATGATCTTTCGTAATGGCGAGAGACGGTTTCGCTGTGCCAATCAGCCTCCTATTAGTGCAGTATTGAACCCAAGCGTAGACGTGTGCAGACTTTAAAGAAGAAAAGGTGGAGTATGGAAGGAACTTCACCCCCCCCCCCACCCACGTGATAGAGTCAAACATAAAACGAGCCCCACAGTAGACGCAGAAATGAAAAAAAAAGCAAAAGCCACCCACATCTTCTCTCGGGGGGGGGGGGGGGGGAGGACTGGAGTAAAAGCATCGCAGAGCGTCGGGGGTATCGCGGTAATGTTGTGTGATTGGATATGATTTCGGATTGCTTAATTGTTATTTCTTTTATATCATCTTTATTTATTGAATTAAGGAGAAGCGTTGCTTTCAACGAGTGGTGGGACGCTGATGTTGGGCTGCGCCCCACTACTCGTTGAAGGTGCTGTTGCTTCCATCACATGTACTCTAGTCAAGCAAAGCGTCTAGTCAAACGAAAGTTATTTGAAGACGCCCTTGACTGAATTAAGATCGCGTGCTCTACCGCTTTCAAACACTCCACCTGCGCTCGAGGGAGACGAGACGAGGCACGAGACGAGCCGAGCCTGCGCAGTGGCGAGGTAGACGGTGCTGGCACCGAAGTGCGACATCGTGCGACAAAGAAATGCTCCGCGTAAAAAAAAAGCGATTACGTGCGTCTTACAGCGACCCGCCATTAGTCTACAGCTTTTTACAATGATGAAGGTAGAATAAAGGTGGACAGCAAATAATTTGTGTAATGCCACATCAGGGGTAATAGGCCACCATGATCTACCAAACCCTTCATGACCGTAACCCTGCACAAAACATCACACCATATCCATGGAGTGAATGATGATGAGTGAAGCGAAGCATCCGTCCGTCCGTGCGTCCATACTTATGATGATAAAACTTATGATGAAAGATATGATGAAAACCCTATGGACTATCATGCTAGGCGATGTATCTTGCATGGTTGAGTAGCACTAAAACACGAAGTAGAAAAAAGCACACAGGATGAGCGCTGTCTCGATAGTGAAAGATTTATTTACAAAAAAAGGAAAGAGAACAAAACATACCGGGTACCAAGTTTGAGCATGACAGACATACAGAAAAATGATAAATTCAAACAAGTCACTCTACACCGCAAGTGTGCATAGGTAACAATCATGCATGTTTTTTAACGAGCCCAACTTTCAATTCTGCTGCTCGCTGGCTTTGTCGTTGCTTAACAAAGCCTAGGTGGAGCATAGAGCTCTTTCTAGATATGTATAATGAGTAGTGTTCTTTCTATATGTGTAGAGGGTAATGTGGTAGTGCTTTAGTACTAAATAGCTAGAAACTTGAGCACGTGAGCTGTTTCTGCCAAAACTCATACCTGGTCTGTGCTATTGTGACTGTACAGTACAAACCACGAGATCTTAAGTATATACAACTTGTTTTGAATTCCAATGGCAGACTTGGAGGAGCCAGTGGAATTGGCGAACGAGCACTCCACTGCGGCGTATACAGCAACGTAGACACGCAACAAGGCCAGTTTATTTATTTTTATTTTATTTTTATTTACAATACTGCTAGCCCTTGCGGGCTGTAGCAGGGGTGGGAGGTGAACAGGTGAACAATACACAAACAATGTTAGGCAAAAAAAACAAGTCCAGCCGTCGTTGAAAATCCTTTGAGGATCTACATCCTGTAAGTACCTCGGGAGGAAGCGCATTCCAGTCAACAATAGATCGCACCAGAAACGAAAACTTAAATACATCCACCCGCGGTACATAAGCTTGGACAGAAAATGAGTGATTGGTACGAGCCGACACTCGTCCAGGGGGGCGCAGGTATACACTGGGATCCAGCTTGTAGTTCTTATGATACAGGTCATAAATAAATTTTAAGCGAGCTATTTTTCTACGTGTAGCTAACGATTGAAGGTCAGCCCTAGCAAGCAAAAGTGATACAGACTGTGTTCTCATGTAATTTGAATAAATAAACCTCGCGGCCAATCTTTGTACTCGTTCAAGTTTGTTAATTTCAGTTTTAGTATGCGGATCCCAGATGATAGCTGCGTACTCCAGCGTTGGTCTAACAATAGTCTTATACGCCAACAATTTAACAGAGGGCGGTGCATTACGGAGTTTCCTTCTCAGAAAACCCAGCTTTCGCTTCGCCAGTCCTGTAATGTTGTCAATATGATTGTCCCACTTTAAACTGCTGGATATAGTAACACCTAAGTATTTAAACTCATTAGAACTCTTAACTTCTCTATTGTTTATTGTTTATTTATAGTTAAGGGGGGATTTTTTATTTAAAATTGTCATGCAAACAGTTTTATCAAAATTAATTTTCATGTCCCATTTTTCACACCAGTTTTCAATACGTCGAAGAGCATCATTGAGGAGCATTTGATCAGAAACACTTTTCACATGACAAAACAAGAGACAATCATCTGCATATAACCTTACATCAACAAAAGGAGGCACAACCGTTGCAATATCATTCACAAAAATTAAAAAGAGTAGAGGTCCCAACACGGAGCCTTGTGGCAAACCAGAGGATACGCGTAAAAGAGAAGAACGTGCGCCACTTATTTCAGCAAACTGCAACCTATTGCGCAAGTACGCTTCTACCCATCTTACAATTGCGGGATCAATACCAAGTATTAACATTTTTTGAATAAGTTTCTGGTGACATACTCTATCAAAGGCCTTAGAGAAATCAATTGCTATGACATCGACTTGTTCTTTTGAGCTTATCGCTGTAGCAAAAGTATGAACAGATTCAAAAAGCTGAGTGACGGTTGAAAGGCCTTTTCTAAAACCGTGTTGCTTATTATAAAACAGATTGTTGCTTTCTATATATTGAAATATATATTTTGAAATTATATGTTCTATTACTTTGCACGCCGTGCATGTGATAGAAATTGGACGGTAATTACAAACATTAAGGCGGTCACCAGCTTTGAAAATGGGCGCAACTCTTGCTAATAACCAATCAATCGGAACAGTGGCAGTACACAAAGATAAATAAAAAATTTTAACTAAGAAACTAGAAACCCAATCAGAGTAGCGCCTCAAAAATTTGTTGGGAATCATATCCGGACCAGGTGATTTTTTATGATCCAATTCAAGCAGTAATGCCATTACGCCCTCTTTAGATACGGTAAGAAGATTGGAACTATTATCATCGAACGTACAGCCTTTTTTTGAATGATCAATACTTGGAGAAAAAACAGTACTGAAATAATGATTGAGTGCTTCGGCAATCTGAATCGGTTTGCTATAGGAGGTCCCGTCTATAGAAAGCCCAGCTATTTCAGACTGCGAACTAGACAGGTACCGCCAAAATTTCTGGGGAGAGTTGGATATGTATTCAGACAATATATTAGTTAGAAAATTACTTTTAGATTTTTTGAGGTAATGTTGCTCTCACCTTTTCGTGGGGTTCGACGACGAACGTGACACCCTTGAGTACGTCGGGCAGTGTTCCTGGACGATATGAAGCCGAGTACTTCTCGAATTCCACGAGGCCTTTACTGGGCCACGAGTCATCGAGTGTTGCTGTCGCAACGAGAAGACTGTCGCCGGAGTCGCCTTGATCGGCCGCCCTTTTCTCAACGTCAACCTGTGTCGATGGATGGATGGATAGAACGTTATTTAACATCCGGCAAGGTTTGACGCGACTCTGACTTCGGCCTTCTACGGGGAAACATCAAAGGCTTGCCACTACACCACCTCACGGGCTTGCTGGACCACCCGCGTTTTCAATGTCTAGGTTCGAGCTGCGCGCAGCGGCGGCCCACTTCACTGACAAGGTCTCCAGTGTAACTGCCACCATTATGACAATTAATTACCCACCCACAACATGTGTTCTAGTGTTGCTGATCCTTCCTGACATATTGGTACGTGCTGTCTTAATCTTTGTCCAGATATATCCGTTTTAGGCGGACTGGGTCAGTAAAGGTGTTCCCTCCATCGAACAAAAGGTGGTGTGAGGGTCTCGATATATCACGCAAAATGCACAGGCATATAATGCCTTGGCTTTGCACGACACGCGGTGTTTCGACCTGTGCCACGTGTAACTGACGAACGACATGTGTAATGTTTTCGATTGTACGGCTGTCGCCGAGGGTGCTCAGAATATCTTTTGCTGTACTCTGAGGAGCTCTGCCTGTTGAATCCAAAATGCGATGGCGTGAACCTGCTGGGCTTGCTGGTTCTGTTTTTACGTTTAATCATACGCAAACGCAATATGAATTTTTATGACCACGAAATAGTACTCTCTACTTGTTCGAGCTAGTATAATTCTCAGTTTTTTTTTAGCGAGTGCCTGTGAACTGCACATCAAATAGCTGTAAATCACAGTTATATTTTGGCGTCAACATGCCAATACGCTGACGCGCAAGTTATTGTGAATACTCTGTCCGTTGGGGCAGTCGATTTCGGATAGCTGATTCACATTTGAGACAGGAGAAAGGGGGATGGGGAGAGAGGCAGGTGTCGCAGCTTAGCAGTGCGTCTTGAGCACTGCGCTACGGAATGCGAAAGTATCCCGACAAATCGCTCAAAACAGTTAGGTGCGCCAATCAGGTGCCAGAAAATTTGGCCCGCAGAATGCCTAGAAGTGTATGTATCTCCCAAGAATGATTGTTTCTTTTGATATGGCAGCCCTAAGGAAAGCGTCAGTTGTTCAGTATACTACAGGATGCTTACCTCCGCAGGTAGTTCAGTGTACTCTAGATCTCTCTCGAAGGAGACTGTGACCTGTAGAACCACGTAGAGTGACAGGCATAGGGCTACTGTCATCATCGGTATCTGCAGAGAGAACGGAATGTGTCTAAAGCACACTTGACAGTTAGCTCGGTATCGCTATTTTGTTCTCGCCAATACATGGTTCCTCTTGAATTAAGATATGTTCTTTTTTGTCGTGAAGCAAGAATGCTACAGCCGCACACCTCTTTTTCCATTAGCGTTTCTTTGAGTCTTGCATGTCTGCTACTGTAACTCTAGTATTTTCAGCTTTTCTTGATTTAATGGCGAAATCATACAAAACATCGGTCGACTATCTTTACAAAATACTTCACAAGACAAGTCTTGATGACCATCTTTATGACATGTCTGGCGAAGCCACTGTTTTGCGGTATCTGCAGAAATATGCCCAAAGCCTAATAAAAACAGTTTGTTCGCTGCTGAAATGCATTCATAAATTTTGATATTTGCCTGTATATTTGTGCTCGCGTACTATAGATGATTACAACACTTGTTAAGGTACGGTGAATCACAAAAGCTTGCGGACCACTAAAGCACGTGCCAAACTGCCTGTTCATGCCTCTCTAGCGGTGCGCCATCTACCGTCGACGACGCTGCTAAACCGTAAACGCGTCTCCTTGTTATTCATTGGCCTTTCAATCTTCTTCTACCATGTAGCGCAATGTTACTTCCCAGTTTTCACGTGGAGTGCTTACCTGTAGTATGACCACTACATTTCTATTTTCACAGCAGAATAAAAGCTATTGAGCCGTGCTCCGAACAGCGTTCTAATGGCCAGGTATCACTTTGTTATAAAGATTGTGACTGATAAAATTTATGCATACAGACGGCTCTCAAGGCAGAAGTGCGTAGACGCAGATGCCAAAGAGCAACTCGCGGGCAAAAGGTGAAAGGTGAAAAGTGGCAATGTCGCGAAGAGGCTTTTGGCCACAGGCTCACGTAGTCCATAAAGTTTTGTGGTAGACTGTACACGTAGAGAGCGATATATGCAAGAGTATAAAACTTGTGTTGAACACATCCTATTACTCAGCTGCAACGTAAATGTGTGTGCAGCTGCTAAGAACATCTGCTAAGACGGGGGCACAACGGATGAATATCTTTTACACACACTAGCTCTTTTACTGCTTAGGTGTACTCTGTAGCAATGTGCTGTGCAGTTAGTCATTAAAACTCGCTGTACTTAAACTGTCACTAGTGATAATGTTTCCATAGGACGGCTTGCCTTTGTCAGTTTATTAATTTCCATGCTTAGCGCCGACGGTTTTTAGTGCACCTGGGCCTTCTCAAAGCAAACGCTTAAGGGAGACTGTCGCTGTACTGGGTCTTGTTGCCGAAACATCAGCTCGAGGTACCTTGCACGTCAAGCGGATTCTCATCATTACAGGACTTACATCGTCTTCTCGGCTTTTTGTGTTTTATTCAGATTTCAACTGCCCTTATTTATTATTTGTCTTTAGCAACCCGAAACCACGATAGCATTATGAGAGACGCCGTATTGGAGGGCTCCGGAAATTTCGTCCACCTGACGTTTTACACGGGGCCCGGTCCCGCGACTAAGGTTCCACAGCTGATCACCATAACCACAAGACTACTGTGAATGACTACTGTACTCCTTTTAAGCCTCAAAAAAATTTGTAGTCTATGGTAGCGTTTTTGTGCTTTTTTGCGTTTCTCCAGCAACTATCGTGATTTTAGTGTTCCTCACATTTATTAAAAGCGCGTTTGTCGATGGCCCTGAGTATTTGAGTGTTTAAACAAAGAAATACTTTGGGGTTGATCAACAAGTAAAGTTAGTCATGCAGTGGCAAACATGCATTCAATCGAACGAAGACCATCAGGAGACCAAGGTGAGGAGTAAATATGTGCAGTCGTTCATTGTTGCGCATATTTTTGCTGTAAAAAAATAACTGAGTAACTTTTAAAGCTCTCCCTCGTATTACAGCGACATTTCTTATCAATTAAAATATTTTCAACAATGGGAAAATGTATTAAATTTTCGCTCTCTTCATGTTCACCGTTTGCTTGTTGTGTTTAGAAAATGTTGTTGATTATTCAGAGTACTTGGTACTATACTAACAAGAGCATAAAACCGTCCCATGCGAAGCACGTTTCAAGAGGCCATGCCGACAAAAATTAAGCCGTGAGTGAGTTCACGGACGGGACCAAGCAACGGCTACAGATGAATGTCTATAGGTTTGGCATCACTGCTGAACAGAGCCACAGATGTCTGGGCACGTTGTGTTCAGACTAAATTGTAAACTCTTTAGAGGAGTATACGCACTATAGTATGAGAAAGTTATAGGATTGCCTCGATCAGATTAGGTGGCATATTGGGTTTAGAAAAAAAGGGTAAGAATTTAGAGTACCTAGGCACTCTACTATGGGAGAGCATGAAACCATTTCGCGATGCACGATGTCAGCCAGGAACAAAGTGTGTTTACGAAAATGGGTTAACAATTTAGAGTATTTCGTTCTCCACTATGAGAGAGCATAAAGCCGTCCCGTAGAAGAAACACATGGAAAAGCGTTTGGAAGAGGTAACGATTTAGAGTACAAGATACTCTACTTTACTAGTTTAAGTGAATCTTATTTCCAGATATATCTTACATAACTTATGTGCACACTTAAAGATGGACGATGGTGATTATGCGAATGTACAGTGCAAGCTGTTATATACAGCGAAAACAACTTATTTGCGTATGCAGTGATCTACAACAAAGGGAAGTTTGTTTTCCTCTAACCAAGAAAAAACATCGGTTCCGACTGCATAAGGAAAAGCCAGGGGGCGCTCGTCCAGTGCGGATGTGCGAACACGTCGGCTCCCGATTGTTCAAGTGTTCTGGCACGGATTTTTTGCCTCAACTAGCAAGAACTGTGCATCATTCGACGCCGTTTGTTGTAGTGAACCAGCAGATACCAACATCTTACCGGTGGGTGAAATTTTTGGACATCCCCAGGACTTTTACCCACGCCACGCAGACGCCTCGCGCGTCGACGCGTTTCTCGGGCGCTGCAACAGCGTCGCGACGACGCCTAACGCGTCGTCGAGCTGAAGAATGGCCTCCAACCCCAATGTGTCGGTTGTAGAAGGCATGGACATCAATCCGGAAGAAGCGGAGTGCGCGGGATGGATTGAAGTAGCCAGCAAGAAGAAGAAACTTGCCGAGCGGGCGGATTGTAACGCTGGTAATGCGCCCACGTCAGCGACAGGAAGCGGTAAAGGCGGCTCCCGCACTGCCGCCTCACAGAACGTGTTGAGGCGTGTTGTGAAAGCTTCCAGGATCCCAAACCTTCCCAGGGATCACTTTAAGACCATTATACGGCCACGTGGAGGGATGGATGTCAAGAAGACAGACCTTATCTTCAAGCGCTCGCTCGCAAAGGCGGCTTCCCTAACAGCAGAGCAGGTGTTCGACGACACGCTGTGCACGAACCCCTTCCAGAACATTTTCGTCGTTGCCACGCCGTTCGAGGCGAATGCGCGCGCCTACGCCAGGGTCCAAGAGATAAGTATGGGCTCGACTGTCATAGGCTTGGCGGCTTACGTGGCTGCGTCTGACAACACATGTAAAGGAGTGATCCGTGGAATCAATGTGGTTCTCAGTGACGCAGAACTGACAGAGATGATCGTCAACCGGAGGAATCCTGGCGCTCTGGGTGTTCGAAGAATCAAGAAGACACCAACAGTGATCGTGTTGTTTGACGGACAAAAGGTCCCCCAGCCCGTCGTGTGTGATGGTGTTCGATACCCTTGTTCCTTGTATCGCAGGCAAGTGGACGTGTGCTATGCATGTGGTGATTTGGGCCACAGGTCCGATGTTTGCCCCAAGGGCGATGAACAGAAGAAATGCCGCGGATGCGGCATGCAGTCACCATCACCGGATCATCAGTGTGATCCCACGTGTGCCATCTGTGGCGGAGCGCACCCAACGGCGGACCACAAGTGCAGAAAGCGCTTCCAGGTGCCCTACATCGTGCGCCAAAGACGGCGGCGCCGCCCTAGGCGCGCGCGGCTGGCTCCGACACAGCTGGAGGCGAAGAAGGACTGGCGGAAGAAGAATCATTCTCCAGCGCTCATCGCAGCAGATCGGCATCTAGAGGACGCTCCCGCTCCAGAGGACGCTCCGGCAGCAAATCGCGCTCTCGCTCCAGAGGGCGTGACAAGGGCAGCAGTCGCTCCCGTTCGAGAGGACGATCGGGTTCCAAGGGCCGCGTTCAGAAGCAAATGTCTTGGGCGGACAAGGCCAGGATGAACATCCCAAGCGGCCAAAAGGTAACGCAGGGCATTTTACCAGAGCAAAAAAGCGAACAATCAGAGATTTTAATGCTTAAAAAAGAAAATGCAGAACTTAAAGAAGCACTACGAACGCTGAGGGCCGAGTTCGAGCTCTTCCGCAACTCGCGTGAACCCCGTGAAGTAGCCACACCCATACCGGTTCAAGCAGGAGGGTCGATTAAGCGCAAGGCCGTTTCGCCCCCCGCGATCGCGGAAAGCGTGGCAATGCAAAGTGACGAGTCCCCCGCTCAGGTCCCTGAGAAAAATGTACTCGCGTCTTTAACGGCGATTGAGGAATCGCTCAAGCAGGTAAGAGAGGCCTTAGCCATTCGATCTAGCACAATCGAACGTATGAACGGGAGCGTCTCCCACCTGACACGTTGAGTAGGAATCCTCGAATCTAAAATGAAAATGATTGACTCTAGCAAACTCAAGACGACCAACACTGGTACGATTGCAAAATCCAAGATAGTGCAGCAGGATTCGGACGCTACGAGTTCGCCGCAGGCTATGTTCCTTCAATAATATTCAAAATGGCGGGCCAAACCGGAAACATAACTATCTGGCAGTGGAATTGCGCAAGTTTCTTAAGGCGTAAAGCTGCTCTACTGCAGCTCATCAAAGCACAAGCGTCAATGCCGCACGTCCTGCTCTTGCAGGAAACACTTAGCGAGAAGGTAGTTCTATCGGGCTACCGTTCGATTAGCCAAAAAGGCGCAAATGGCAGAGGTATCGCCACGTTGGTCAGGAAAGATACCTCCTTTGAGCAGCACGAAGTCAAAATTTGCGACTCGGATAAGAGATCCGGTCTCGAGGCACAATTAATTGAAATCATCCCCAACGGCAAAATCCGAAGCAACATATTCGTTTTTAACCTGTATAGCCCTCCTTCGGCTTATAAACATAATATCCGCTCCCTCCTTCATAGGGTCGCAACTGCAGCCAGATCGCACCCTTTAAAAGTAGCTGGGGATTTCAACGCTCCCCATTCGTCTTGGGGCTATGTTACGAGGACAAAGAAAGGGGCCAATCTAGTTGCAGCCAGTATAGACTTAAACCTAACGCTTATCTCCGACCCGCGTTTTCCCACGAGGCTGGGAAACTCGGTCGCCAGAGACACGATGCCTGATCTCAGCTTCACTAGAAATGCGGTGGTCGAGTGGTCCAATTTATAGGAGAACTTGGGAAGCGACCACAGCATCATAGAACTCCGGATGGAAATAAGAGCACCACCTCCAAGAACCTATGAATATACAGACTGGGACCTTTTTAGGCAAATCAGAGGTGAAGATGAGTCAGTACATGACACCTTCAGTGAACTTCTTGTACAAATCCAGAAGGATGTCGAGAAGGCCACCAAAGAAACAGTAACAGAATTTGATGCTCCGGGAATGGATGCAAGGTTAGCGCACCTCCTGGACGCCAAACGCTCTCTCATCGCGAGATGGAAAAAACAAAGGCTAAATCGCAGGCTACGGAAAAAGATTGCGGAGCTCAATCGGCATATTGAGCAGCACTGCTCCGAACTCCATAAACAACAATGGAGGGACGCCTGCTCGACTGCGGACGGGAAAATGCGCAAAGGAGGCAAATGGACCCTCTTCAAACACCTCCTAGATGATGGACAATCCAAAGGCAATCAGAAACTAGCCATAGACCGACTTATTAATAAGGAGAAAATGGCAGGCCTCTCAGAAGCTTCCCAATTTCAGATACTTGCCAACAAGTACCTCCCGCTTAGCCAGAGCTCAACTTCTGTCCCCCACCGGTATGAGGGTGTGCCTTCTCCAGAGTTGGACGCTCCCTTCTCGGAAGCTGAGATCAGGGAAGTGCTCCATAGCCTAAACGGAAGGTCTGCCCCAGGTCCCGATGGAGTTACGAATCGGCTCTTAAGAAATTTGGATGATAAAGCCATTCAGGCCTTAGTGAAGGAGATAAACAGGGTATGGGAGGAGGGCGTCGTACCAGAAACTTGGAAGAGGGCCACAGTGGTCTTAATCCCCAAGCCAGGTAAATCACCCAGCTTAGATCACCTCCGCCCGATCTCCCTTACTTCTTGCCTTAGCAAAGTAGCAGAACATGCAGTACACAACAGGATATCGCGCTACATCGAGAGGAATGACCTATTTCCATATAATATGGTAGGTTTCAGGCCCTCACTTTCCACGCAAGATGTCATGCTCCTCCTCAAAACACAAATAATTGACTTTCCAAGCAAAGATGTAAAAGGGGTCCTCGCACTGGACCTCACTAAAGCATTCGATACTGTCAAACACGACTATATCCTTAAGGAGATATCGGCTTTGAACCTGGGAGTTAAATTCTTCTCCTTCGTTGAATCTTTCCTCGAGAGTCGGATGGCGGCAATAAAACTGGGACAATCAGTCTCGGAGCCTTTCAAACTCGGACGAAGGGGTACTCCCTAAGGGGCAGTTATCTCCCCCCTTCTATTCAACATAGCCATGCGCAAGCTGTCGGCAAGCCTTTCTAAAGTTCCTAATGTCGGACACGCTTTATATGCTGACGACATTACAATCTGGTGTCCCGGAGGATCGGAGGCGGCGGTTGAACAAGCTCTACAGGAGGCTCTGGACGTTACAGAGTCTTTCCTCTAAGGTACGGGACTGGCGCTTTCGCCGGAAAAGTCGGAACTCCTGCTGTACAGACAGGCTAGACGAGGTGTTAGGGGACTCACCCCTCTCGATCAGGTGCCCATTAGCGTTTGCACCAAGGATGGTCGCACAATTTCTAGAGTCAATTCTATGAAAATTCTGGGGCTTTTATTAGACTCTAAGGGATGCAACGCAAAGACTATAGCCCATCTCACCACAAAAACAGAGAACATTCTGAGATTAATTATGCGGGTGTCCAACAAGAAGGGCGGCATAGGCGAGGATATCCTCCTTAGGGCCCACCACGCTTTCCTCATGAGCTATATCAAATACATAGTGGCGGCTCTCAATTGGACCAAAACGGAAAGGGATAAATTGGACACGCTCATGCGCAAAAGTGTCGAAAAGGTTCTCGGCGTCCCAATCACGACTAGCACAGAAAAACTCATGAAGTTGGGAGTGCACAACACCACTTCGGAATTAATTGAAGCACAAAGGTCAGCACAAATAATTCGGTTATCGAGTTTCAAAACAGGAAGAAAACTGCTCGATGCGGCAGGCCTCCGTCCAATCTTCAATCAGGGAGAAACTACGCAGCTTGATTATCAAACAAGGAATTTCTTTATTGTTGACCCTCTTCCACGAAACATCCATCCCCAACACAATAAAGGTCGAAGGTTGGCGAGGGCTAGGGCTTTCATAAAGAACCTCTCCGGAACAGAGACATTTGTGGACGCGGCGCGCCACGCCAGCGGCAGCGGGTTTTCCGTGGCAGTAGTCAATGACAGGGGAGAACTTGTCTCGGCAGCTTCAGTGAAGACCTCCTTGGTCGATGTAGCAGAACAGGCTGCTGTAGCGCTGGCATTACTGGACACGAAACGCACCACGGTGTACACCGATTCCCGAGCGGCCGTTAGGGCGTTCGCATCGGGATTGATAGCCACAGAGGCAGCCAGAATTCTTCACAGCGAACCCCCCTCAAACGTTATTCATCACATAGTCTGGTTTCCCGCTCACACGGGACCAGACGTACTGCCGGGTCACCTGAACCCAAACGAGATAGCCCACGACTGTGCGCGAGGTTTCACAAGCCGCGACGGGGTGGTCTCTCGGGTGGGTTCGGGAGAGATCGTCCACAGTGATCCTCTCGTTACTTTTCACGAGATAACATCTCATTACAGAGGAGAGCGACAGACTTTTCCCTTTCCCCATCATAAGCTCCACAGATCACAAGCAAGCACGCTCCGCATGCTCAAGACGGGGTCTTACCCCTCTAGGGGCTTTCTGAGCATGCTTCATCCGGATATTGATCCACTTTGCCCAGATTGTGGTGAATTTCGCTCTTTGAGTCACATGCTCTGGCAGTGCCCTGCGTTACAGGATTTTAAAACAGAAGAAGACTGGACGACGGCAATCACAGACCCCAGACAAGACGTCCAGCTTCAGGCTGTGCAGAGGGCCCGTGAACGAGCGGAGAGGCATGGCCTCTCTGTTCCGACATGGGACTAGCCAACGGCTGGGTGGGGACCTACATAGTTGGCCCGCTGCCTTGCCTCTCAGGACCAAATAAAGTTGTTTGTCCTGTCCTGTGTCCGCTAACCAATATACAGGAAATAAAAGTAACGCAATGTGCTACCTCGCTACGTAGTTCATCACCGACGCCTACGAGTACACAGAAATTCAGGTCTAAACAAACGGATCCCTCAAAAGTTCCCCGGTCACATGCCTATCTATATGCGTAGTTCATCAGTTCTCGATTCTCTAACGCCTGTGATCTTATCGATTGTTAGTCGTTTTTGACATTTCTAGTCTGCTTTTTTATTGAGATGACTTGTTGTTTCACCGTCGCGTTTCATTGCTGCATTCCAATGCTTCCCGCACGATCGTCGTTCTTGCCTGTAGCACAGAAAGTGTTCCGCGTGTAAAAACGTGCATGCAGGTGCGATTTTCGGAAAGAATTGAAAAATGTTAGGAGAGAGCATTGTACAATGCGAGAGGGAAGAAGAGAAATAGTAAGTGTGGCACGGCATCGCCATGCTTCACTGCCCCCCCCCCTTTCCCGGCAGGGAAATGGCTCCTTCTTTATTGACATGCTAAATGGGAGAGAGTGATGCCTTTATAATGATATCGGCTGCTCTTTATCACTTAGTTAACAAAATACACATTAAAAAGTAATAACAGGCCGCAGAGTGACTCGGTCAGACGCATGTGCGAATGCATGGAAATTCGACACCACATGGGAGTTCAAATAGGTAAAATTAGTTCATATGTTTACAAGTAGTGGTGCAAAAGTTAAAGTAATGTGAATGAATTCTAATGTAGAAGGCCAAACCCAGTGTTCTGTATGGCTTCCTATTTTTCAAAGAATATTGTTTCGTGTTTTCGGCTGAAGGTAAAAAGGCATGTTAGGACATGCTTTGAAATGCGTCCCGGGCTAGAAATGAAAGATTGGCATTGCGTGTGAACTCTGCGGGTAGTTACTCACTGATTGTTGTTATTTCTACGTAAGGTTTTCGGTGGGGGTTCTGCGTAGGTGGCGAAACTGATGCAAAATGCGTTAAATTTTCGCCAGATCGAGGTGGTGCCACCCAGGGGTGGTTGGGGGGGTGTTACGTGAAAGTAGCATCAATCAGTGAGTAACCACGGCACAGCTCACACGCAGTGTCAACATGTTCACTTCTGGTGCAGGACGCATTTGAGGGTATGTTATGTTGCGCCATGTTACCTCTAAAAGGAGAGAGTTTGGGCGTATAGGTTATTCATCTTTCTTCGTAAAACAGAGCCCACAAAAGAACACCGGGCAAAAAGAGATCAAGACAGGCACTCCTCGTTTCTTTCTGTCCTGTGTTCTTTTGCGCGCTTTGTTTTATGAAAAAAGACCCGTTACCGTCAGCCGAAACCACGTAACAATGTAAAGCCCCCACTGGCCACCACTCACCGATAGCGAGGAGCTGAGCGCCAGCCCTACGCTGCTGCTCGCCTCGGGCGATGCGTCGCGGCCGGCCAGGGCCACGGACAAGGCGAGAGCGGCGAGCACCACGAGCAGGCCACACGAGCCGGCCGCGAATCGCGAGAAGCGGAAGCACATGGAGAACGTCGAGAACGCGCGCAGCCCGAGGTCCGAGAGGCGCTCGTAGTGTCGCCTGAAGCGCGGCACGGCTCCCAGGCAGCGCACCGTGCTCAGCGAGTCCCGAGTCTCGGTCACGTGCTGCAGCATGCGGCTCACGTGACGGCTCTCCAGGTAGCGGCCCGCGTTTGACGCCTGTATCGAGCATTTCTGCGAGAAAAGAGGGGAAAAAGGTTGTAGGCAAAAGTGGAGAGATTCAGAATTTTTTTCCTAATGATTCTAACAGATAATTTGCCTTCATGTAAGACAGGCCCTTTGTATATGTGCGTATATGTGGGCTTTATGATTGTATGTATATATATATATATATATATATATATATATATATATATATATGTGTGTGTGTGTGTGTGTGTGTGTGTGTGTTTCGTTACTGTGTTATATTGCGCCACTGCCAAATACAAATACAAAGTGTTGCGAGCTAGCCAAATTGTCAGGGGACCACATTTTTCAACTGTCCTCCATCTGTATCTCTCAAAATTGGCAGACAAAATAAATAGTAGTAATAATAATAATAATAATATAATAATAATAATAATAATAATAATAATAATAATAATAATAATAATAATAATAATAATAACAATAATAATAATAATAATAATAATAATAATAATAATAATAATAATAATAATAATAATAATAATAATAATAATAATAATAATAATAATAATAATAATATATATTATTATTATTATTATTATTATTATTATTATTATTTATTATAAAACCTATGCATCCAATATAACTTTGAACTTGAACCAGAAACAAAAATTCATATTCGTAAGGACAACTGCTTTTGTGAAATTGAAGAAACTGAAAATAAGTGCTCGAATGGGAATGCTTGAAATAGAAACGAAAGTGTCATACTCGTGCTCCTTCATACCAGTCAGTCATAAATGAAGATGCTGTGTTTTAATCCCATGGTGCTGCTTGTCAAAGACAGAAAACTTCTCGAATAGGGAATGCTAGTTGTGCCTGTGCTATTGTACCAATTCACAACACCTTAAGCATCTCTTCCCTCCCTAACTCTTTTCTTCTTTACATCGCTTTCTTTAATTTAGCAGACCAGGTTTGGCAGTTTATTTCACCGTGACAATTTCTAGCGGAATTATTGAAAGGTCGTTAACGTTTACTCTGCTGCATGTACACCTTGTATGCAGAAAAGCACTAGAAGAACGATAAGCAGTTTTTGTGCACTGTTGCAATGAAAGTTATGTGAACAATATGGCTGGCAGCTAGCCATCCAGCTATCTTCAGAGTTAGAAAGAACGTAACCAGGTGTGCGATGGGATTTACATGAATTGAGCGGCTGTGTTAGTAGTGAGACCAGCAAGTACATGCCCAGAGAGGGAATAGAACGATGAGTAGGATCGTAAAAACTCGACAGTAGTTGTTTTGGTTATGCTCCCCCAACACGTATAGAAGTTAGGCTGAAAAACGGAGATGTAACCACACCTTCAACATCACTGTGGGCGTCACCTTGCTTTGCAAAAGTGCTTGTGTGTCACACATGCGGTAGCATCAGACAGATGGCCGTTTATTTCGCACAAGGGAGCAACTAGGTCCAACTAAAACTGATTCCCGCAATGACAACCGATTACGGGCAGCCAGGTACCAATGAAATGGTTCGCATTACGTCGAGTCTGGCCCTGGACAAATCACACCGTTTACAAGAGTTGAAGATTTGACGAGTTGGTTCGTCGTACTTGAACAGGCATTGTGTATTACGGTTATCAAGAAGAAATGGTTGAGCAGACCAAAAAAAAATAGAGGACAGAGCGCTCTTGTGTTATTTTGTGTCTGTCTTCTTGGTCATTTCTTTTTTGCCGTAATTCGCTATACCACTTCCAAACCCACTGGTTGTCTTTTTACTGCAAGTGTGCTTTTTCGCAAACATACTATGCACGTAACAAAGCACGCTTTATAGTGTCTGCAAAATGATTGTGGTAGCACAGATGAATGGGGGGGGGGGGGAGATGAAGGGAGGAGGACACAAAGACGCTCACACACACACGCACACACGCATACATCTGCGCTACCACAATCCACTACGACTTCAAAAACCACTGGTTGTCTTATTTACTGCAAGTGTGCTTTGTTGCAAACATAGTGTGCACGTAACAAAGCACGCTCTACAGTGTCTGCAAAACGATTGCGGTAGCACAGATGAATGGGGGGGGGAGATGAAGGGAGGAGCACACAAATACGCTCACACACACACACACACACACACACACACACACACACACACACACACACACACACACACACACACACACACACACGCAGACACGATACATCTGCGCAACCACAATCCACTACCACTTCAAAACCGACTGGTTGTCTTATTTACCGCAAGTGTGCTTTGTTGCAAACATAGTGTGCACGTAACAAAGCACACTTTACAGTGTCTGTAAAACGATGGAGGTAACATAGATGAATGGGGGGGGGGGGCGAGATGAAGGGAGGAGGACACAAAGACGCTCACACACACACGCAGACACCCAGACATCAGCACTGCCACAATCCACTATCACTTCAAAACAGACTGGTAGTCTTATTTGCTGAAAGTGTGCTTTGTTGCAAACATACTGTGCATATAACGAAGCACGCTTTAAAGTGTCTGAAAAACGGTTGTAGTAGCGCAGATGAATGAGGGTGGGTGAGATGAAGGGAGGGAGACACATGGAGGCTCACACACACACGCAGACACACGCAGACATACAGACATACATTCAGACACACAAGTACACGTACACACACGCGCACACACACACACACATGCGGGTGCACTCGGCGTCATCTGTGAATTGCCTTTCGTTTTACCGCAATATACGGCTCGAACGATGGTAACTCCTCAGTGGTGTTCTCTGAGATCACACCAGCACAGGAATGTGCCTGTGCAGCTATCTGTGCTTACAGGCAAATTTATTCTTACAGAGAGTGGACTATAGTATAATTCAACAGAACCATCTTATACCGTCTTAAAGGCTTTGCTAGTCTTCATAAAGTTGACCTTACAGTAAAGACCAATCACACTCGATGATGTTAGGTGTCTACTAGAGTGTCATTGAGTGGTTACACCTTAGTGATGACATGGCGATGATCATAACAACGTCGTTATCACCATGTTCGTCTGCGTTCCTGTAATCATCACTGTCATCATTATCATCGTCTTCATTAGTACTGTCGTCATTATCATCTTTATCACCTTTATTGTTAACGGAATATTTCCGATGGAGCCTCATTATGCAAGACTGGCGAAGCCTATGCTCTGTCAGGAAGCATTCGACTGCGAAGATGCGTACCATGGCGTAGCTCATAACGACGATGGCGACTGCTCCCACGGCCAGTACAGGTGGCGTCTGCGTGCCCACAACGACAAGCTTTGCGATCGTGATGAAGGCATTCTGCAGGCTCTGCTTGGCACCCAAGAAGAGTCGGGAGTCCATGGCATCCAGGTCGAGAGAAAAGCGCGCCAGTATGCGGCCCCGAGATGTCGAGTCGAAGAAAGAAACCGGACTGGCCAGAAGGTGCTCTAACATGGAGCGATGCATGAGACGTGAGAGCCTCTGCGAACTGGCCGCCAGGAGAAACCCGCCTGCTGTCCGGAACAGCACTGCGTGAACCATACAACGACAGGAACTTACCCATCGTGGCCGAGAAAAGAACGAGTGTGTAATGAATATTACTGTGTGAGCAGGAACACAAGGTTATAGACGACAGAAAGCATTACAGCCCAAGAAAAAATGTTACCACCTCCCAATAAAGGGAACCATGAGTAGCATGCGAAGCAGTGCATGGCCTAAAGTTTTGTTCATCACGAACACCTTGCCCAATGTTACCGTGTCCTTGCAAGTGGAGCACATCATGAATTCTTAGTAACGTAGCAATTCGGCCGTGCGGGTACGTCATACTGTTTATAGAGTGCAATGACGCCGTTGTCTACATGCTTCTGTTGATATGTGGGAAGAATTATGTGAGTCGAAGTGGGAGGTGCACGAACGAACGATTACAAACACTGCTACAACGTCAAAGAAAAAAAGGTGGCTTTTTCGATGCACACTGTACACATTGTTGTAATTCAAATGACACTGCAAGGGATGATGTCAATGCCATGTGCATGTTGATTTTTAATGAGTGTTTAACTGTCGGTACGAGCAGAGGTAATATGACCCGTGACAGAATCCAGGCTGAAATGATTGACAGACTGGCAGATAACTGTATTTCGAGACTGTCAATTGCCCTGTATGAATTGAAAAGCAATGTTGCCTATATGTATGAGTGCCTTTTACTGGAATAAAAATCGAACCACGTCCCCCTAAAGGGAACCATATGTAGACGCGAAACAGCGGCCGCTAACGCTTACTTTGGCGAAAGCCAGATGAAGATGCCCTTCACTGAATTTGAACGAGTGATCCAGTGCCTGCATATACGTGATATTAAAAGCACTGACATTTGGACTAGTCTTTACTTAAATATATTGGTATTTAGAGCACGTAAACAGACACGAAACTGAAGACAAAGCACTCGTCCGTACTTTATTTATTTTTATTTTTATTTATTTATCGATACTGCAGGCCAATATGCTGGCCCATGCAGGAGGGGCAAATACAATAATACAATGACAAGGCATTCACAAAAAGACTAAGGAGAAAAACGTACAGTGCAAGACGCTTGCTTCACAAAACAATTTACACAAATAACGTATAACTCTGTCTTTCGCTTCTTGTCTCTTTACGCGCTTTAAAAGGCCCCCCCCCCCCCTAAACCACCCAGAGGTCGCCCCGCCACGGTGGTCTAGTGGCTAAGGTAACTCGGCTGCTGACCCGCAGGTCGCGGGTTCGAATCCCGGCTGCGGCGGCTGCATTTCCGATGGAGGCGGAAATGTTGTACGCCCGTGTGCTCAGATTTGGGTGCACGTTAAAGAACCCCAGGTGGTCTAAATTTCCGGAGCCCTCCACTACGGCGTCTCTCATAATCATATAGTGGTTTTGGGACGTTAAACTCTACATATCAATCAATCAATCAACCACCCAGAGGTCGACATTTTGTTGTGGCGTTCCAGTTGTACACGAGTCTACGAGGAACGCTGGTGGTGTCGCACGAGCTTGCTCGTTTCGCTCTTTACTTCGCTAGGCTTCGTTTGTCCACTCGCCTGTCCCCGCTCTCCGAGGGGCCTTCCTTTGCGTCCGAGGTGGAGACGCAAAAAGCGCGCATCTGCTAGCAGAAAACAGACTCTCATTCACCCAATTAACCCCGTCTGTTGCTTTCGACGTCACCTAATGTTAGAGGTGATGTCATGACGACTGTTGTCAATAAGGGAAAGGCACGGAGAGCGTCACGCGAGCGTCTGTTGGTCGGTTTAGGGGCCCTTTGAATACTACTATATACGGGATGGCCACTGAACGTTTTTGCAGCGCGAGCAGTCGTTTGTTTACTAGCAGACGCTGCCTGCGTAGGCCTTGCAAGACGAGAAAGGGGGAAGGGAGCGACAGTTTTGCGGGTGTGTTCCTGGGCTGGGACGAGACGCAAGCAGGATGACGGAGGGACAGCGTTACACAGGCTAGTCAAACAGCTGCTTCCCATCTTCATCTTTGTGTGTTTTTTTGTGCGCTAGAACACTACATCACGAATTCATTGTTGTCTCGTCGCGCGTGTGCAGAATCTAGTTCCCTGATGCCATCACGTGATTGCAGAGAGAGTGTTAGAGGGAGAGGCCACAGCCTCTCATACAGCCACTTACGAAGGCTCGAACGCCTAGCGCGTGTCAGTGAGTTCTGACTAAGATATCACGTGTCGGTTCATCGCCCGTCTGAAGATTCTCGATTCCCGACGCCATCACATGATTGCTGAGAGAGCGTCAGGAGGAGAAGCCACGACGTCTTACCCAGCACTTCACGCAGGCCGGAACACGCTAGCACTTGAGCGCGTTGTAGCAGTGCTTGGGCCAGCTGTTGCGCATGCTCAGTTAGGGTGAACACGCACACCACATTCAGCTTCGCGATAAGCTGCTTCACACTTTCCTACGCCTGACCAACCTGTTTCCACACGCAGTGACGTCAACTCAGTGATCGGTGACGTGACGCAGCACACAGCTCGTCGATTGGTCCAGGCCTCAGCAAAATGTAATGAGGTCAACGCCGCCTAGCGCTGAGTTGACGATCACTGCGTGTGGAAAGAGGTTGGTCAGGCGTAGGAAAGATGCGTGGGCTTGTTTTGAAGGGGGAGGGGGTGTAAAAAAGTTGGAGCCTGTTTTAAGAACTTGAGTTCCGCCAACAGAATCATGCATGGTAAGCCTGCCCTTCACCTTGAAGTATAGCGTGCTACCTTGCTTCTGATCAAACCGTAAGCACTTTTTTCTCCTCAAATGCAAGTACTACATATATTCAGAGTTAAAGCCTCGTCGTTACTACTAAAATCCTAATTTTGTCTCTACAGGAATGGCACAATCCCTGAAGAAATTCACCTTAACATTCAAGTTTCCGTCCTAAAAGCAGCAACACAAACGTGGGTCTCCACGGGAAAGTCATCCATCTGAAACTCCCGAGGAGTGCTTGACGTGAAAAAAGTAGCTGTATTTATTGCATGGAGCAGCCATAGTTGAGTACGAAGTACTCGAAATCTTTGAACTATTTTTTGTAAACATTTGTGAAGATGTACTGTCGGAGATATAGCGATCACTGTGTGTGGAGTTGACATAGCTTTAGGCGATAACCGTCTACAATATCTTACGCCTTGTGACTGTGTGTGTTCTTGCTTCATTTTAGGAGCGAAGCTCCTTAAGGCGCGAGTCTGTACATGAGTATCTCTCTTGCTACGTGACCGCCTAGTTCTATCACTCAGTCAGCAGGTGCTGAAGGGCAGGCAGGGAGACAGACGGACGGACAGACGGACGGACAGACGGACGAAGGAATCGTGCTTTGAGCTAGATTCCCACGCGAGAGCTGAATTGGCTGCTCTGCGCACCAAATAGTCACGTGATTGTTCTCATCCAGAGCAGCAGCGGATACGTCGCATGCACACAGTCGGACCTACGTTCGCGGAATCCTCGTGCATACTCTGGACTCCTATGTTTATGCAGCGCGCTTATGTGGTCATGCAGGCCACACGCTATGAATAAAAACCACCAATCTACCACCACAACCACCAAAAACCACTCGCCTCTTGCACTGTCACAAGAAACACATTTCGGTCGTTGCCGCAAAACTTAAACATGTGGATTTTAAGCCGGCAGCCTGCTTCCTAGACACGTCAATCCGACCAATGTTGACAGATTTGACGCTGAATCCTCTCAATCGAGAGAAGATGACCGTCAAATGGAGGAATCGAAATAGCGGTGACACATTTTCATCCGTGCCGTGAGCTGGTGGAGAGCGGATGAAGCGAGGACGGCTCGTTTCAATGACGCGCATGTCACGTGACGTGCCGTCCGCTGCGAAAATTCCTCCTCTGTTTTCTCGTGTGAATCCACCGTTACCAATAAAACCCTCCGAAGCTTCGTCCCAATCATCATCATTCACTCCGTGAATATGCTGTACTTCGTCCAGAGCTAATATCTGCGAATATCATGTACCTACCAGCATAAATTTCAACCGTACAATGAACAGCTGGTGTTTTCTACAAAGGTCCTCAGACGCGGGACACCGAAGTGGTGCATACCGCACCAGCAAGAAAATCGAGCAAGCCACAGTAATGTCTGATGCTGCAAAGAAGCACAGCCATTGAACTTTGGACCACGAAGCATTTTATTCTCTTATTTTATTTCTTATCACCAATAAATGTATTGCCACCCGGTGTTGCGAGTGGGCAAGCCGTGGCTAGCCGAAAAGGGCGAGGAAAACAAAAGCGAGGTGTGTAGACCCTTTGTTTAGGATACGCATTCGTGTCTTACTGTTTTGATGTTCTTGTATTCTTGTCTGTACGGCCCCTAATGCGTAACAAACTGGTGGAGGCTCTGGGTAATATATCCACCGTACCCCTTCGCATAGCGATAGCTCAAGTGTCGTAACGGTGGTCACGTCTGCGCGCTTCGCCAGCAGAAGGTCCCGGTGACAAGCCCCTAAATTTGTACTGCTCCCAGACAACATGGCGGCTCCGACCAGGCCTGCCGATGCTTCGCGGAAAAATGAGCAACCTTTGCTGATGATCTAATAAACTCGAAGTGCTAGAATGGCTTTTCTGCTGGCTATTTTTTGCAATTCAATTTTTCACTCAGGAAGACAATACCTCCCACAATTTTGTCCTGTGCATCCGGTTGCGGGTAGTGTTTGTTCAAGAATTGGCCCCTGCAGATGTGGGCATATATTTGCTACCCAGCATTGCAGTTTGGGAGCGAAAATACCATCATCCTATATCAGCACCATATTGCGTTCCGTTTTTTTCCCTCCGAAGTTTGAGTAAATGCCAACTATGAGTTTAACAATGACAAGTTTGATTGGCTTTGTAGCAATGCTGCTTAGGACGTATCACACTAGTACAGATGGTACTATATTGGAATATTGAGAATTGAAGCCCAGCTAGCTACTCTGCCAGGGAAACTTGTCCGGAAGGATGCTGTGAGGGGTACCGTCAGATAGTGAGATGGCTACCAGTCCTCCAACCCAGTTGGTTGAAGAGGACAGCTCCGGCAACCATGGCGTCGGTCCACTCCTTCACGTACAGCTGCTGCCAGGCCACGGCGCCCGCGCTCGCCACGAAGCACAGTAGCGCCAGAGGTCCGCACACACCGGAAAATCGGCCCAAGGCGATGGCCACCTCCATAGCAGTCTGCGCAGCCGTATGTTCATATGTACAGCCGGAATCGCACTTTTACAGAGTGGTCAAGCGCATGGCTGTGGACGTTTTCATTGTTCTCAGCTACTATCTCGCTTTAACCAAAGAACCGTTCGTTGATGCTTCGATTTCAGTACTAGTGACAACCATCTGGTTTGACTACGTTTAATATCTTTACGGCGTGTGGATTTGCCTATTTTTTTGAGAAAAACTGTGACTGAAGAGAGTGACCGGACATTTTTGCCCAGTGCGAGTCAGGCCCCTAGTGTATCCACACGGGCAGTGGGTCGTAGGTTCGCGGGTTTCAAACCTTGCCAAAGTTCTCGCTTTCGCCCGTGTATACCCTATAGGATGGTGAACTAACTCACGAGTCGACTCACTTGGAGTCAGACTCAGATCGAGCCATAAGTTCAAGTTTGAGTGAGTTTCATTGAAGAAAATTTTTGAGAGTGTGAGTGCGAGTGAGTTCGGGTTCTTGATCACTATATCGTATATTACCGTCTCTTTCAAGAGAAATGATGTTTCTAGTTTGCAAGCACTCAGCACTCGTTTTAGAAAATACCACGTCGAGCGGTGCCAAGCACAGCACCAATTACGTGAGATAATAGTGTTAAAAAGCATTGACACCATGGAAAAAGAATCCCATTTTAGGCTAACTGCCTTTTGAGTTGACTTACTCAGACCGACGTGAGTCAGAGGCTGAGTGAGCACAGGTGAGTAATGTTTCAATAAGTTTGAGTCCGAGTGAGTTCGGCTCAGGAAAAGTTTTTTGAGTCTACGTTTGGTTGAGTCCAAAGCTCAATTCATGAGTCAGTGTGAGGGAGCTTCACAATTTCCGCCGTCCTAAAGTATACACACGTGTAAGTAGAACTCAAAACATTCTTGCTACACTGCCGTTTCCTACTGTACATGACGAACACCAACATTTGCAGGCGTGAAAGTTCTAAAGTAAGCTCTGACGACGTCTGAGGTACGCTTCGGCGCGTAATGTAGCGTACGAAGTATGCAGTGCCAAGAATAGCCAAGAAGACATCACTTGGCAGTGCACTTTTGTTTTGTGCATCGGGTATTATTGAGTCACGAGCCTCTCTGTGCATGCTCTGGAAACACTTGTTTTCTTAGCACTTCTTTGCAGTGCACCAGTTAGAGTGACATATCCTATAACACTCCCATATCGCTGGCAGGAATATCTTCAAAACAGAGTACGCACGCATATTGAACACACGCACTGCTACCGCTGCATGAAAATTTCTGATTTCAGCTTTTCATTATGCGAAAGTATTTTTTTATATTTGGTAAATAAATCTTTATTTCACGGCTTTAAACAATGTTTGTTGATACATGTTCTAGTTACATTTTTGTACCCTCTACAGAGTTAATATATACGCTTGCACTTATACTGCACAGTAAATCATGAATGTCATATTTAAATATTACATAGCTTGACTCCTCATATATTCAAGTGCCTCTCTCTTTTTTCCTCTCGTCTACATTTAAGATCACGTTGCCCTTTTAACTTACGTGATATCACCAGAGTTACGCGAAGTCGGATCTAAAAGAGTTCGCGGCTAGCCTTTCTTCGTATAACATTACATTTCTTTTCTATCTTATTCTTTACTTCACCTTATCTGAGAGTGTCATGTTCAATTAAGACTGTGTAGTTACGGGATCTGTTAATAAATGTCACCTTGGTATACTGTTATTTTTGTCTCGTATATCTTTCGTCTAACACAACCATACGAAGTCAAAATGGCCTCTCGAGTTATCGCCTATTATTTGTTTATCTTGCTATGTGTGATTTAACAAATATGCCAGCACTTAGATTTGCATATACAGGCATATGGGCACATGGGTGAAGTAGTACCTCTTGTAATTTTAATCGCATTGTTTTTATGCATATCCTTACCTTGGATGAAGTTATGGCATCTTCTACTGTGACACGTCCTTTAGCTTCGTCCTGATCTAAAGTGTTCTTGTCATCTCTAGAGTCCAAAAAAAAGTGTTTGAAATAAATTGTAAAGTCTTTAGAGCAAAATACGCACACTACTGTGGAAGAGCCATTAGCTTTATTGGTTATGATGGTGTCGATAAAATTTATTGACATGATGTACAGAAAATAAATTGTGCGCGGTTAATCAAAGCTCCGGGATACACATAAACAATCGAGTGAGGCAATTGTTAGTAGATGCACTATGCATAGAGCATAAGTTATGCATGCCAAATCAGTGTTCAGGGATGTGTGTTTAGAAGGAGTAGTTAACGATTTAGAGTACTTGATCTTCACTATGGGATGAGCATAACGGCATCTCGAAGGCCTCATGCTTGACGAGACCGCGTTAACAAAAATTAAGGCGTGAACGAGTTCAAGTCGATGCCCCACATGAAGAAAACGGCAACGCTGTTAATGTATTTAGAAAAACATAAAAGTTGAACGATTTCGAGTACTTCGTACTCAACTATGGGAGAGCAACGAGCCGTCCCGAATCTGCACAAATAACAAGACATTTTGCTATTGATAAATTGTTGACAGGTGGTAATTGGTTAGCCTTCCAGTGTTCTAGACGTCAACGCCTTGTTACAGGCCACATTCATATCCTGGCAGCCGTCTAAACTAATCAGAATATATCTTGCTTCAAACTCCTTTTCGCCGTTTGTTCACGCTATAGCTGAGGCTTCGACTGCTTGTAGGGGGACCCTTTATTCAACGGTTACAATAGCAACGTTAGAAAGGCAGACACTGTGCCACACACTTGATCAAGTCAGGGTTCTTGTGCAAGTGAGCGCTCAGCAAGTAAGCAGCGTGCTGTCAAGAGACACTGATTTCGCGGCGGCTGATGCCACATTCTTCGATAGACGGCGCCACGTTGCGCGTGACGCACAAATCTCCCTGGGGACGCATCAGCCGCATGCGCTAGGCAAATGCCAAGATTTCTCTCGCCCAGTGAGAGAAAATAATGCTGCCCTTGTGACTGCCTATGATGACACATTTCGATGCCTGTCATTGTGAAGAGACGCTACACCACATCCTGTGTGACTGTCCGTTGTATGAAATCCAGAGCCAGTCACTGGCGTCCGCTTTTGCGCGCATCGACAACAGCCAAATGTCTGTGGACACTATTCTGTCAAGTGCCCGAGAGAAGACATTGCAACAGAAGGCGACGAAAGCTCTGTTGAAATTCCTACGCGACACGGACTTGAACAAGCGACTGTACAGCAATGTCACACACCGCGAAAGACAAGACTGGACTATGACTGAGTGTGCGCGCGTGTGCTGCCGAATGTGCTGTGTTTCTCTCTACCCTTTCTGCCCTCTAACTTTTATCTCCCCATCCCTCTCTGATGCGCAGGGTAGCAAACGGGCTGCCTATAGCCTGGTTAACCTCCCTGCCGTTCTTTTCCCCCCTATTTTTTTCCTTCCTTGGCATATATCAGCTTGCGAAACAGCCGCGAGCGCATCATCAGTGTGGCATGTAGTCATGTTATTACATGACACGCATCTCATGATTATCGTATTTGGATGTGTCATTTGGCTATGTCGTCTATTCGCGTCGCGTAATAACTAGTTGGGTGCATGTGAAACTAGCGAAATGGCCGCGAAGAGCATCATGAAAGTAGCACGTAGTCATGTTGTTACATGACACGCATCTTATGTTTATCATGTTTGCGCCAGTCACAAACCTTCGTCATCCATTCACGTACCGTATGACCAAATTTGGTATACGTCACGCTAGCGAAACGGCACTAGCGCATCATGAGCGCGGCATGTAGTGATATTGCTACATGACAAGCATGTCATGATTTTCATGTTAGGGTCTGTCGCTTGCTGTTCGCCATTCAATCAAGTCATGCCATACCAGTTTTGCAACATTCCATGTGAACGAAACCACCGCAAGAGCTGCAGGACCATGACATGTAAATCATTGACATTCATGACATACATGTCATGATTTTCATGTTATGACTAGTCAAATATGTTCTTCATACAGCCATGCTATGCCATACCAAGTTTGGTATCGATACTATTATCGGAACAGCCAGGAGAGCTAGAAGTCGTAGGCGGCTAGATAGATAGATAGATAGATAGATAGATAGATAGATAGATAGATAGATAGATAGATAGATAGATAGATAGATAGATAGATAGATAGATAGATAGATAGATAAGCTCAAAGTCGCTAAGAATTGCTTCGCATTTAAAAACTAACTGCCTCGCGCTATGCAAGTATTCGCTGGCCATGTGCACGTCGTATGTGTAGGCTCTAAATCGCACGTTCGGGATTCAGTCAAGGGCGTCTTGGCTGTCGCTTGACTTGACGCTTTGCCCATAGAGCTTTGCCTGGCTCAAGTAGATGCGAAGGAAGCAACAGTGCCTTCAACTAGTAGTGTGGCACAACGCAACGTCCGCCTCCTGCCACTCGTTGGAGGCAACGCTTCTCCTTCATTAAATGAAAATTCACATCTTCCCAAAGGGCACCCTGAAGGGATGCGAAGCAGCAGCGTTGCACACGGGTGGCGTCCCGGGTTGAACAGCACTAGCGCGGCTGCTGCAGTGAGTGCTGAAAGATTCGTTTAAAGCGATGGCTGCCGTAGGTCTTGTCGTTTCTTCAGAGTTGACACGGGCGCTGAACCAGAGCTGCCACGTGTTTCGCCTTGACTACCACGACATCGTGATCGGTGAAGTGCTCGCGGAGAGGTAGATGTTTCGGTGGGCGAAGGAGCGTCGTTATCCAGCGTCCTCTTCGCAGATAAACGAGCCGAAAGAGTGTTACCACTCTATATGCACTCGAGCGTAGCGAGTGGTGAATGGGATGACAAGTAAAAGAAGTGACACGCACAGACATGCTTCAGCGCGTACGTTAGGCGCGTGTCAGTTTTATTTCGCGTGAACGGACAAGTCGGCAGAGTAGCGAGTGGCGGTAGCGGTAGATGTTGTGGGCGAATGGACGAGGCGGCAGCTGCGGACGCTGTGGCAAGCGCGCGGCAGGCGAGGGAGAGAGTGAAGTCAGCATGCACTGCGAGGGAGCAGTGAGGTCAACGTGCAGCTTCGGCGTGACCTACTCGGCACCGCTTCAACACTTGCGTTGAGGGGAGCGCGTTGCGGCATGTTCGTACGGACGCATAGAAGGACAGCGTTGCACAGACTAGTCTAACTCCCGTATTCAGAAACGTTGCTTGACTTGAACTTCACTTGCAGCACAAATCCATTTCGAACGCGCTGTCTTTAGGCGGCACCAAGGCAGCACAAACGCACAGGCGCGTTTCAAACGCGCTGCATTCAAGGTGGTTTCAAGTCAAGTTCAAGTAAAGCATCGCTTCTGAATACGGCGGTAAGAGGGCTTCGCATCTAGTATGCATAACAAAGATGAAACAGCAATTAAGCATTCCCAGACCATACCCTGTTACGCAACATTCGCGTGATACCCCCATCACTCTGCGACGCCTTTACTCGAGTTGGCTTCATGATAAAATGCGGGTGACCTTTTAAAATCCCGATCAAACGACACACTAACAGGATGTGTGCGCTTTTTTTTCAAATTTTTTTACCGTGATTCACAGCGAGACGTGAAACTAATCATCGTACGTTTCGCATGCGTTCGTGTTTTCGCGCTTTACGTATCGTGCAGATGCCATTCGTTTTTCAGCGCTTATAAAGGTCCCTTATCCTCCCGCTTGAGGGGGAGGCGCAAAGCTGGCACCATGCCATGAGGCCGGATGGACATCAATCACCACGAGTTCGAGACATTCAAAGATTTCGCCTCTAAATGTGAAAGAGGGCGCATCGTCGCGGCACGTACTGAATAATGGACCTATCTTCCCGCCTTCTTGTCATACCTTCTCTCTGCGTAGTTTCTAGGGCACTCGCTTGGCACTAGATGAGAGAGAAAGCTCTTGAAGCGTGCAACAAATAATTCCGGTGAAAAAAGAATCTGCTCGAAGGAAACACAAACCAAGAAGTGAACGAGAGCGGGTGCATACTCGCGACTAGATTTTACTGTAAAGAGAACTAATATTTATCCGACACAAACCGCAAATTTACGCACGCGCATGCGAGAAAGCTGCTTCCATTATCATACAATTTTATCAAGGTATCACTCACGTAGACGCCTCATTTTTTTCGTGGTGAAGTAAGCCTGGGCAAGTTCAAGTGCCAACTCGCTTCCACGACGCTTGGAGATTTTTGTTGTGGCCAAGGAGGCTGCTCCTTGGTTGTGGCCAGCAAAGGCTCGCATGCTCTGCCACGGTCAGTTGTCATGCGAATTCGCCCATGTTTACTTCATCACGAAAGAGACATTTGTGTCTGCGATACCTCCGTAAGGCTGTACAAACAATGAGGGCAGGTTTCTAGAATGTGCGTAGATGAATATGCAGTTGGTGTCTTATGAAAGTGCGTTTTATTTTCAATGAAAACCAGTCACCAGTCTGCGCCCGTCCACGTTCTTGTCCGTGTTAACTTTGAGCAGACTCTCGTTTATTCATGTATGACTGACTCGCCCAGCACCGTGGATTATAAATACTCTTGTATGCACGCTCACTTAGCAGAATCTAAAAATTCATGCGTCCCCCCCCCCCCCAAAAAAAAGAGATATAACGTCAGTACACAGTTTTAAGAAGCTTTCTGTGGGGAGTGCGCATGCACACTCATAACACCTGAAATGACACTTTCTCAATTGTGCGACTTTTGTACAGTTCTGACCCTGAAAAAGATTTTATATATATATATATATATATATATATATGAGATATTATAATTATTGTGTCAAAACACGGAAAAACGAGCCCTTAGGTATACACTTATTTCCCTTATATATATATATATATATATATATATATATATATATATATATATATATATATATATATATATATATATATATATATATATATTTAAATTATCGGTAGCAAGTTTTGAATATGCAATAAGAAGGTTGCTACTGGTAGTAAGGATTGATCCTACGCGCATTCACAAAGCGAAATTATTCCGAATAATACCCTCGCTGTCAGGAGCATTCTATGTAGCTAACATCACTATTTTTGTCGAGCACTGACACTTAAACGACAACCACGCCAGAGTGAGCATGGTCTAGGGGACACAGATATTACTCATCTGACAGTGCGCTACAAATTTACTCGGCGGACTCCCGCAAGGTAGCGGAAAAGTTAAAAAGAAAAGTCGACAACCATCCGCTTGTATAGAATCCAAAAAGAAACTCCACGCAGCGTTTTGAGAACTTTCTTTCCGGAAATTTTTTTCTAGCTTCGGGATCAAACACGGGTCCAACGCCTTTCTGGGGTGATCGCTTTACCGATTGAGCTTACCAGAAAATCTCAGTTTATTGGTAAGCTGACTAAAAGGGAGAGACAAAAATATAAAGGAAAGACAGCAAAGGTAACCACAGGCGGGCTCCAGTTTCCTACTCTGTGCTTGGGAAGGGGAAAGGGAATATAAAAAAGTGAAATAGAAGACGAGTCTGGGACGGCAGTAGGTGACAAAAGAAACAACACTAAGTTGTGATTATACTGCCGTCTAAGTACTACACACCAACATTGTCTGCAGATAGTCATAGTTGGACATTCAGTCTGTTTAATCAAAGAAAACAACGCTAAGTTTTGATTATACTGCCGTCTAAGTAGTACACACCAACATTGCCTGCAGGCAGTCACAGTTTGACATTCAATCTTTATAATCGAAGAAACTGCAACAACGCCCTGCGAGCGACTCGTGTTGAAGATCGGGTAGGCCAGAGCCATATAATTCGGCACTCTGTGAGAGGGTAGTTGTACGGCTGGCCTTCTGTGGCTCAGAGAACCACTCTTAATGAGAAGCTTTCTACAAAGCTTCACTTCTAGTTCTGAAAATCCGCCTTACTGGAACAATGGTTAAGGTGCTCAGCTGCTGAACCGAAAGTCGAAGATACGACCGTGGCCGTGGAAGTCCCATAATAATGAAGACGAAATTGTAGAGGACCGTGAACTTTGCGATATCAGTAGACAATAAAGAACGCCAGATGGTCTACGTTTCTAAAGCCCTCCCCTACGGCGCCTCTCATAGTCATATCGTGGTTGTAGTACGTGAAACCCCACGAACTTGTACTATTTATTTTCGAGAAATATGTATAGATTTCTTTGTGACTTCGGGCTAAAAACGAATGATTAGTTATTTTATTTCATTGATCTTCAAATACTCCAGCCCAATTCAGGGCTATTTCAGAGGTGGGATACATAAATACATCAGCAAAGAATAACAACAATACCACAACAATTTCTTTATTGATAAATATGGTCACCTCCTACGCACAACCACGTAAATAATGATAAAAATGTTAATGTCACTCAAATTACTTTAAGAAATCAGATATATTCATTTCACGAACAGAACAGTAAACAATTGCCCTTGAAAAAAAACTAAATTTGACCGTGTTAGCACGTGCAAAAAATGGCTTAATATTAATATTGTGACCTATTCTTGTTGGTAGAGCGTTAGACTACACGACGTAATTGTCATTAAAAACCCGCCTTAATGAATGAACGTAAGAGTGGAATAGTTTCAATGATTCGATATGACGCCTACTACACAAAGGTGATAACTTCAAAGATTTCATTGGAGATGAGGGAGAAAAATCATGGTCATAGCAATTAAAAGTGAAACAATCAGATTTCTTTTGTCGAGATTCAATTGTATCTACATCACACACTTTGTATCATCAATATCGCATGGTGACAGCGTGAAAAATCATTGACGGAGTAAGCATATTCACCTCCCTTCTCTGGCTGCGATTTGCCTGCCTTTGGCCTGTCTGGAATCGGCCGCTCGGACCGTGCGTGGCGTGTCCTTGTGCTGGAGCAGCTCGGATACCGAAGTGAACACCGAGGCAGTGCCGCTGTGCATCAGCAAGAGCAGGTCCATGTGCTTCAGGAGGGAGCCCTGGTTGCAGACCAGGATGCGCGTCTGCAAGTGACCAGTGGCGCCACAAGGCAGCGTATAAGTAGATGCATATATATAAGTAAAGAATATGCCATTGTCGCTACTCAGAGTGGTTAATAATTACTGCACTGGCCTAATGGTATGCCTTAACGACATGGTGGGGAAACGAACACCAGGTCATATCGGGCCAGTTGGTATGAATCCATCTTGGTAGGAAGTGCACACTTTTTACAAAAGAACACTAGGCAGGAGCGCTTACGGTTGTGTCATGTAAGTGCTTCTGTTTTCTTGTTCCTGTCCAAACGTTGTGAGTTTCCTACCAACAATTTCATAGCTCTTTATCTGGCATGGTAACGAGAAACAAAGTGAATCATAAGCTTACAAGCGGGGAAATTACGTCCCAACAACCTGTTTGTTACCACGTGCTAGAGAGAAGTATTAAAGAGGGCAAGATGATAACGGGAGAGAGAAATAAGGTGACTAGGCTGTACATGACACATGCAATGCTTTTTTGGAATGGAAGAGTGCACTTTGTGTCTGATTAGGATATATATGATGATATGTATTCGTAATAGGCCCCACGTGAAAGCGTTATAGTATATGTCTGTGCTCATGCAAGTACGGCCAGGAGGGCTTTAGGTTCGAAAGTTTTAATTAGGCCAACTGGGTTGGTATTTGCCGACGTAGTGTTTGCAACGATGCCTGAAGCGTAGAGTGGAAGCACTCTAAACAGTTATTGCGAGATAACCAAAATAACTTTGATTTCTTTATGATCAGTGGAACTCGCAACAACGTGAATCTGTGCCGGTACACAATAATAAATGCGAACAGACATGGTAAGTTGTCACAGGCATAGATAAACTGCCACTCGGTTTTCTATGACATGTTGATATGACTGACAGATTTACCGCTTAGAGCGAAACACGTCGTGTACCAGAAATGGTATATTGAAAGCAAAGAACGGCTCATTTCACAAAGGTTTTAACAATAGCTCGTTAACCGCGTTGTAATTTTTTTCCAATAAACACGAGAGTTGGGGAAAAACTATCGAGTAAGAAATCCGGCGCGTAACTTGTTCAGAATTTTTTGAAGGTCTACTAGGCTAATCTTATCATTCGTGCTCATTTCGCGCTTTAAAATGATTCCGCAATGCTTTTTCGAGAATTGTTTTCAAATGGCTTAATTAAAAAGGCCTCCTGAATTGACTGCTGCAAAAATTTTCGGAACTTTTATGAAGCCGAAGCGGAAGAAAAGAAGGAAAATAGGAGGAAAAGAATGGCAGAGAGAAAGTGCAAGCAGAGTTACAGACACTGGTAATACGCTTCAAAAGCTTTCTCTTTCGTTTCGTTCTAGAGAGCACATTGGAAGCTAAGCAGGGAGGGAGATGACAAAGGGCAATGCATACAGCCAGAGACATTCATGAACATAAGCATTTTCTTCCTCCGCCTAATTTCAGTATGCTCGCGAGCTCGCATGAGGAAATGTGGCGGCATCTCACAGCGACTGCGGCAATTCAGCTCGCGATGCCCCGATATACCAATCGCCGAGAACATTGAATTTATGGTGTGTCTTTTTGGCTTAGTTGTGACAAGAGTGAACGATTTCTAGCTGATTTTGGTAACTAATTGTACATTACAGGCCACGGCCTACGCTATGATGCTTGACTCGCGTGTTCTCGGCAGCCTTGACTTTCGATCGGCTGTGTGTTCTGACCATGCTGAAAAACCGTTAAGGACTCCTCACACAAAACCACTGTAAGCCCTATATGGCACAACTACATCACAACCCAAGTAAAAGAAGAGTGGCGCAGCAAGTCATTGTCACCGCAAAAGTGAAGCAAATATTGTGGGCAGCAACACATTTGATTGTTACACAAAGAAAGGTTTGCAGCTAAGTCAGCATCCTTAGCCGCTAGGTATACTAGGAACTCCGCGAAACCACAGTGTAAAGAAGCAGGGCCACTCGAGCTAAGGACGCAGTTTTCGTACTCTTTGTCGGTTGAACGCGAAGTGAGTGATGAGAGCATAGATCGTGCAAAGTTATGAGTCGTCAGCTGCTCTGCAGAAATAGCACACGCCAGTCCTGTTTCATCAAAGTTGGATGTTGCTGCAAAAGTGACACATCCTCATTACCTCTCTCATCGAAACTCCTTCATGCTACTTCATACCACGGTTCCAGCCGGCTCTTTCATTCTGATTGAGCAGCGCCCATAAGCAGCCTTCACACACTTCCACTCACAAATATAAAGCGTGGGGCAAACGTTACCAATTTGCGCTTTATACAGAACATGACGGCGACGCGGATGGCGAAAATGTGCCTTGAAAGAGCCTACAATTGCTATCGTTTAAAATAATGACGTACTTGACTGAATAGGTTCTCCTGTTAGATTTTCCGATAGTACCATCCAACCACTAGGGTACCTTGTGGGCCTGCTTCAGAGTGGGAGAAGTGTATTCCATGTGCTGGGCCCGTAGAATATAGCGTCACACACACACACACACACACACACACACACACACACACACACACACACACACACACACACACACACACACACACACACACACACACACACACACACACACACACACACACACACACACACACACACGCACACACACACACACACGCACACACACACGCACACACGCACACGCACACGCACACACACAAATCGCGCATTCAGTGCTGTGGACATACAAATGCAATAGGCTCGCACAAACCGTGTTTCGGAGCAGTCCGTTCTTTCCAATGACGTGCTTGAAGATCCTGGCTGCCACCGTAGCATCGAGTGCGCTGAGTGGATCGTCAAGCAGGTAGATGTTCGAACAGCTGTAAACTGCGCGGGCGAGTGATATGCGCTGCTTCTGTCCACCGCTCAGAGTCTCACCCTGTTTCAGAGAAGCAGCACAAGAGGTGAAGATGTACAGGATGAAGCACTGATCAGAGGGCAACGAACAAGCTGACCTATTGTCTGATGAGTAAAAGCACATTATTACAGCGAATATATTTTGACGAATCATTGTAAGTACCCCAGACTGTTCAACAAGTGCATTTGGTACACGCAGTGTTTGGCTTGAAAAGGTTCTTCATCGGCACTCTTAACAAGACAGTGAAACCTAGCTGACCTAAGCAGGTACCTCCACTTATGCTGTGCATTTCATGATAGAATGATCTGGGAATATGCCATATAACTCAACTTTCACTTAGCGAAGAAGTTAGTGAACTCGCCATGTCCCTGTGGTTGCACTAGAGCGAGGAACAGACTGCCTCTAAAGCAGGTGTTCCTAAGCAGGTTAGTCTTAGGGAACTCTGCCAATCTCTGTGACGTCCGAACTCCCCGCCCCCTCGATTTCATGCAAGTATTCTTCATTCAGTTCACACTACATGTATATTGTCATAAAGAATATGTTTGTATTTTAAAAAAGAACCCGACAATCGATCAACAACGCTGGCAATACACATAGCCAAAATTAATAATTCCAGGGCAAAACTTCAAAGACAATGTTACTACTGCGGTATGCGCCCCTCACCTTTTCCCCAACTTCCGTGAGGTCACCGGCAGGAAATGAGTTGAGGTCATTGAGGAGTTCGCAAGCCTTGATGACTCGTACATACAGACCCGGGTCGAGCCGTTTGCCGAACGTGATGTTGTCCCTCACGGTCATGTTGTATATTGCTGCTACTTGAGACACATAAGCAATGGATCCCTGCGTAGAAAAGACTGTCTCATTTGCATGCGCAACCATGAACAGTAGTGCTGATCAATGCGACTCGCTCTAAACGAGCATGAAGTCCCCCTCGTCCTTTCCCTCCAAAAAAAGGTTTGGCTCCAAATTTTGTGGAACAAGCAAACGAAGTTAATAGAATCACAGCAAATTCACGAAGTAAATGATAACGAGTGAGCGAAGCTCCGTGGGATCATTAACTCCCGTACATTGTCCACTCGATCGTGCAAGGACATAAGAACACATGTGTACAGTACAGACAAAGCTATTTATTATTCGCAGTGTGCACATATTGTTAGGAGGCCCGTATGTATATTTATGTGGATATCGATGTGGATATTCGTATATACACATGGATATGAAGGGCCATGTGCAAATGCATATAAATATGAATACCCATACGTATAACCATGTAGATATCTAAATGAATATGGACATGTAAATGGATATAGACACCCATAGCATGTCACACCAACGGACAGGGAACATGGCTCGACGCTAAAGAGCTTCGCCCCTAAAATTAATGAAGAATCAAGCGTTATAGGAAGATGGAAGACTACGAAGAAGAAAATTTTGTCATCGTCATTAATGTCGTCATTCTCGTCTATCTATTATTATATGTTCCCTGCAAGACGAAGGCGAATACTGATCTCTAATTAATCATGTCTTACACGAGCTCGTTCTAGGTGTAATGATGGACAAGTCACGCTTTAGAGCGGTTATGTCACGTTACTAAAAATCATAATTTCTATCTAAAGCAATGACTACGAGGGTTCTTAGGAGAACACGAACGTGAAAGCTCTCTGGTGTGGTTATATAAAAAGGGTACTCTATATCAAGCCAACTCTACCCTTATTTTTTGTCATGTGATGGCCAAAGTTTAAGTGATGGCAGATGTCGCGTGGTCACACGATATTGAAGGATTTTACATTTCTTGCTCACGCGAATGCCACAATCATGCAGTAGAGGCACAACTCGCGCCCTTTTGGCATCTCTTCTGCACCTTACTATGTGACCCCGCGAAAGAAATTATGCAGCTTGCACTTTTGTTGCAAGGCTGGTACAGTAGTGAAGCTAGTGTTAGGACTCCCGAGGAAGAAGCTGCCCTTCCAAGCCTGGCTATACTAGGCATGGCTATACAATACTAGGATCGTCTCAACACACGAACGCTTTTTGTTGTAGAAGCCGTTGATGACGATAGTTTTTTGGTTAGCCTTCTGAACAGCTCCGCAGTTTACAGTCAAACGGTTTCGCGCTACTAATTGCGCAGTGAACAAGAGCTAAACAACGAATCCCGCATCGCTTTCGCTTGCTTCGCTATTGGTGCATCTTCCTCACATTTCAACGCCTTTACATAAGCGGCACCCAATGGCTACGTTTTGCCATAAGCAAGACAATTCTCGTTTTATCGGCGAAATACAATGGTCGCACAACAAGCCGGAAGTTATTACAAAATGTCATTGCTGTCACTCTACATCATGCGAAGTGGCGTGGACAGGGCACATACCGACGTGCGAAGGACGCCTCGCGTGCGATGCATGTCTCCCAAGATGGCGGCCAGTAGAGAAGATTTCCCACTTCCAACAAACCCCACGACGCCCACTAGGGAGCCAGGTGCTGCCCGGAACGTGATGTTCCTGAGGGCCGCCTCGCTGGGCACCGGGGAAGACGTGTGCGACGAGTGCTGCGTCCACGAGAAGCTGCACTCGGACAACATCACTTCGCCTGCGCAATGAACAGGTCCACAACTGTTGCCATGCGCGAAATTCGAAGCACATAGAAGCTTTATTAAAGCGAAAGCTCCATGTACCTCGTTTCGTGGCCCGTTCAGAGAAACTTGGTAAGCGAGTGGAGTGGTACAAAACCCCACTTGGCATACGTCACTAATGACGCCATAACGTTAAGTTATCATGAAACTTGTGAACAGCACTGGAAAGGAATACATCGTGAAAGCGGAAGGACAGGGCGCTGTTTTTCCACTTCTATTCTGTGTCTCGTCCAAGCTATGTTTCGAACATATGGTGTAGTAGCGCAAATTCGATGGGGACACAAGAGTACAAGAAAACACGACACTGGCTACTCTTGCACTCTGTGTAATTTGTCTCCCCGTCGAGTTTGCGCTACTACACCATATGTTAAAATGATGTCTCACCATCTATTCCAGCTCTAAAGTCTACTGCACTTCATACTCTGTTTTGAAGTTTAGTATGTGCCGACAAGCTCACATTATTACACATTTTCGCTTCATATCATAAGAACGTCACAATCTCCGAACTTTGTGGCAGCATCGTGACAACATGACATGGCGTCATGTCATTACATCTTTGTAGAACAGTTTCAATCGACATTGTGTCACTTGGTGAAGGGTGGGCTGGCCACGGAGGAACTGTAACGCTGAGTTAAGTGCAGAAAACTTCAGTTAGGGACAAAAAACGCCATCGGCTGAAAACGTCATGGTGATATATTACGCCAACACCACATCATGGTTCCTTATGTGTTGTGAAAAGGCTGGTTTCGATTCTTTAACTTAATACAGATAGCGTAAAAAGCTGAGAATTTTGTTTTCGTTGTAAACTGCACTTCCTCATCGCATTCATCATCACTGACATAATCGTCATACCCGTGGTCGTCATGCTGGCGTCTGACTATTGCATGAAAGCATTGTAGATCGAAGCCGGGGTTCCCTGTTTGTACCAATGCACCTACTCTCCAGATTTAGCCAACGGGAGCACTTTGAAATGCACACGACCTAATAAAGACCTGCGAGACTCCACCCCCAGGCCTACAGTCTTTACGGAGGAAAGGTACAGTACAATGGTTCAGTTGGTTGGGCTGGTGTTCGTGGGTATCCTGCTTGCACGAATCACTTTGAAAGCCGTGACGCGACCTTTCAAACCATTACATATGCTTCGTAGCATTGCATGATGCTGGAGGAACATTGTAACACGTTTCACAGCATTGTTACACAAGCACATACGCGCAGTTCACTAGTCGCTAGTCATTGTTTTCTAGCAGTCAATTAAATGGCGAAGCATCACGCTTCTTGTATCGGTAGATCGATGCACAAAGCTCTTCGATCATTTTCTCCATTATTCTGGCCTCCTAGCCGACTCATGTTCCGCAATTAGTGTGCCCAATACGGTGATCGGCTGATTGGAGCTTTTAGCAGCTGTAGAACGAAGAGTTATGAAAGTGCGTCTAACTTCAGTTACTATCACCAGAGTCGTTGTCACGGTCTCTTCATTACGAGGAGCTTCGATGGTCGGTCATTGGAGAGAACGGCGATGGGAGGTGTGTGAGTAATGAATAAATGGTCTCGAATCTCCGATGGAGTAAAGGGTCCATGCATACGCACTGGCTGGGTGGAGTTGATATGCGTCCAGGTTGACTGCAGCCCAAAAAAGCGGGCCTCGACTGTTCGGCGGAGTGTTGGCCTTCCGGCTTTCAAAACCGAGTGGCTCTATCGGCGGAGGGGTCGCAGCGTATAACGAGCGTTGGAGTTGGCAGGTCTCATGACATAGCTGGCCGTTCCTATATAAGCGGTTGGCTGATTGAGCGTGGCCGGCTGGTTGGCTGCCAAACTGGTTGGCTTTCGAGGTACCTGTCCTAAAGTGGCTCGTCCCTGGGAATCGTTACACTCGAGGGGTCCTGTTAAGGGGATGGCTGCTGTAGGCTATGTACGACTCCACTTCGTAGGATGACATAGTGTCACATATAAAAAGGTTATGGAATTATTCATTTTGTTTGGTTCTTTTAGTTATTTAAATTTTCGCCCCACATAAATCCAATCTTCGCGTCCCCTGTCGGAGCCTCAAATGTCTCAGCACAGAGCTCGAGAGCAAGACGCGATTCCTCGTGGTATCCGGCTCCGATACCGATATCGAAATGAGTCGGCATATAAGAAACTTTATGTTCACTGCACATACTTTGAAAAAAAAGAGAGAGTCTATTTCGTTTATAAACAGAATTTATGGAAATATTTCACTTTGATATGATGTGGCAAGTATTACGCAACTGATGTACCTTGTATATATTTCAATATATATAGGTGTAACGTTCTTTCTATCACAACCCTCTAATAGAGCTGGTAATACAAATAAATAAGTAAAAATAAATAAGTAAAAGTAAGTAATAAAATATACCAGAAACACACAGAACACCACAAGCTCTCTGCTGTGTTCAATATGTTTCTAGTGTCCTCGTATATTCTCGCACTTTGGTAACGTCTAAGCACCTTTCCCACGTACTCTAATTATTATAGTCCTGTGCTTACTGCTGCTGTGTTGTCACTCGCAAACTTTTTAATCTCATGCGACCGTCCTATCATTCGGCTTCTCCATCCCTCACACGCTTGCCTTCTTTTGGAATCTTCTATGTTACTCTAAATGACGAGCGCCTATCTCGCCTGCGCGTCGCATGTCCTTCCTGTACCCGTTTTGCCCTCATGTTTTCAACTAGGATGTCCTAAAAAACGCTCGTGTTGTCTGACCCCTGAACTCTATTCCGGTTCCTTAAAGTTAGATATATTATTTTACTTTCTATGGCTGATTTAGGTTCAAACTATCATTTTCTTTTCATGACAGTATGATTTTGTGACTCCACGCCTTGGAATTACGATGTCATGAGAGTGATAGTTACCTCTAGGAGTTTACCCCCCCACTTTGCACCCCCTCTACACACACGAGAGAGAGAAATTAAGAGAAGCGAAAGGGGATATGCAGGGAGGTGAACCAATCTTTGGCTCGGTTGGCTATCCTACATGTGGGAGAGAAACTAAGCTTTTGTAGAGCGTTGCATGCTCAAGGAACACCGACTCATCCAAGTTGAAACAATTGTACTAGGGTGACTCTGCAACATTCTCTGTCCCGAGTGCACTTACCCTTCTGTATTGCGGGGTCCTTAGAGTCTTGAGGGCGTTCCTCCTGCTCTTCTTCGGTGCAGAACTTGCATATCCTCGACAGACCAAGTGACACCTGAAAAACAGCGTCTTCCTTTACTTACGAAACAGCAGGTGCACTTGCGTTCGGGGCACTAAAGGCAACTATTAAGTCGACGTTGATTATTTAAAAGGCGGTCCAGAAACCTCCTAGTGTTACTTTTGTGCCAAGTAAGGGCCTCTTTTGAAATAAAATAACGTTTTAGTGGTCCGCATCGGGTTAGAGCCGTTCAAATTACCCACCTCAAGAAAAGGATCGACCGGACCGACTCACGTCACTGCTGCCGTGCACAACGTTGCCCGCCTTTACTGCACTAGCAGCAGCAGACCAAAAGCAGCGGGAGCCACAGCAGCAACAACGACCATTGATCAATTCCCGCCATTGGCTCTGAGATTGCACACATTTTTGGTTAAATTTCGCCCCGCTAGATGGCACCGCCTGTCCAGTGTAGCTACGCAAACCTGAATTTTTGAATCACTCGCGCTATTCCCCATAGTAACTTCCAGCGTTTTTTTTTTCATGAATAAAACAGAAACGAAGAAGCAGCATTTTATTGCGTCTCTTGATGCACGAAAGGTTCTTTATTTAGTGCAGCTAGATCAATCACTAGTAATTGATTGTAGGTGGTCCGTCTGATGTCATCGGGATCATTTTCAGAATGTCGTACTGCGGCGAATGTGTTCTTGCGCATTTACCTAATTTCTCGGTAAGTAGGGCCCTGTTGTTGATAATATTGCTGTTTTAGATGTTGTCATACATTGAGCTTGCATTCTGACGTAAACTGTTATTTGACTTTAGTGTGCCTTTGACTAAGAGCATGGCTGATGTACGAAATTAAGCTGTCACCGCACGTAGTTTCTTCGTCACTAAACAGCCTTTCTTAAGCCTTCATTGCTGAAATCGGTTTGCAGTCAATGCACACTTCTAGGTTTAAAACATTGAATAAATAAAGCCATGCATGGTAAATCAGCTCAGCGCACACTTGCAAGGTGAAGTGTCTAAGAAGTGAGGAAGAAATTCACCGTACCGTTTTCGGTCCTCATTTAGCGAATCCTAGGTTCGTGTTGTTTTCCGAATATCCTCGTGTACTGTATTGGGGATCATGCTTCTTCCTTATGGTTACGTGTGTATTCGTATTTTTGTGTAATATTCCTTAATTTATTGACATTTCAAATTTTCGCATAAAATACCTATTGAGCATGCGTTGTGGAAACGAGCGTTGAATATCGTTGCATCTCCTGCGTTGAGGGTTCCGCGAATGCAATTGCGACACCTAAAATATGTTCTACTTTTTAGGGAAGTCATAGTGCTGCGACAAAGAAAGTTTGTTATCCATCAGCCTGAAATCGCTGATCAAGTGTAATGGATATTCCAAGGTTATTTGACTTGCCCATGTTCTTCCTTCTTTAATATATCGCCACTGGCACTGATAGCGGCGGGCAGAGCGTCGGCCGTCGATCAACTGACAAGTGGTGGAGCGTGTCGGCATTTATACCCTTTCCATCGAATATTCTAGCGTTATCGCTAGTGGCGACGTAGGTTCCAGTATAACTTGTGACGTTCGCGAAGTGGCCGTAATCTTAACAAAACAATCTACTAGAGCCTCGACCTCGACATCCTCAAGCACACCGGATCAGCGGGCGACGGACCCGTACAGGACTGGTTCAACCTATTCGAGCTCCAAGCCGCCGCTGCATCCTAGTCAGAACGAGAGATGGCCACTTCAGCGACAATGTCACCGGTGAGGCATTTGAATTTTACCTTACCCACATCTTTGAAAACGACGAATCGTGATAAAAGATCAAAGAAGAGATGATCGCCCGTTTTAACGACTACAACTAGGAATTCCTTATTAGCAATCATCTAGAGACAGTCCCACATAATCTTTCCTTAAGAGACATAGGTTTCCATCAGGTTTCTCTTCTGCACGAAAGTCGGTATAGTTCCAAAGTCGTCACTCACACATATGATACGAGACGTTGCTAACCCACCTGATTCTCTTCATTCCTCGTCTCGCATACATTGTCCACCACCCAGTTTTCCATCACGCGGCTCCTAAAGTGCTCTTAACGCTCACTGTTTGCCTAGTAAGCTCATAAGGCCGCCGTGTTCACGATAGACGAACTCTCAATGCATCGTGAATATAACCAACCATGCCAAGACGACCCGGAAAGGTGTTTTTCATCACAGGACTTTATTTCTATGGCTCAGCAGACTGTGCAGTCTTAACCTCGTAATGCCAAGTTACCTGTAGTATCTTCATACAGTGCTCTCCAATCCGAAAACCGAAACAATGTAGAAGTAATGCATACATCAAACGTGGCACGCAGCTGTCTGTCAGATACTGGACAATCTTACGAAGTCTCTGAAGAGCATCTTAGCAATGACGACGCATTACCAGCTATGCCCGAAAAGCAAGACACCAGCTCACCATGCATCAGCTGTCTACAGGACGCGTCAACTTGCGAAGGAAATGAATGCCCGATTCCGGAAGGGGTGCCACTACAGCCATCTCCCGAGCAGCATCAGCAAAGCAAGCAAAGCCAATTACACAAACTCATGCGACAACGAGAGAGACTGTAACGAAGGCATCGACGAACGCAAAATTCAACTGAAGCGCACTCATCGACTGAACAACATTGGAAAGTGAGATCTCCAAACCAAACACGATTTCAAGACGTCCGACGCTTTCGCACAAAAAAAAGAAAAAGTCGCCAGAGACGCTCCCTGCACCTGCTATTACGCCGACTGCGCCACCACCGAAAACGCCGAGAAAGACGCGGAAGCACTGCTTGCACACCGCAAACACTCAGACACTCCGTCACAGTCTGTTAAGAAATACACAAGCAAGAAGCATCTGAATTGCATCAATCACATCGAAAAATGCAACCCCGACGACATTCGAGCTGCCGATGCAACAATGCGTTCCAATCTTGCACAGTCTCCAGAAGAGTTCAAGCAGTATTGTCAGCATCCATGTGTAGCCCACTCTGTCCGGAACGCAACAGTCGAGCTCGTCTACCACAGTTGTCATAGAAGTTACCGCACTGCTCCGTCGGCCTTGAAGATTAAAAAAAGATTGTGGAACTCCTTCGGGACATAAAAGTGTAAACTTGGGCATTATTCTGTTTAATATCTTCTTCCATTTGTTGTAGTTAGAATAACTGTATATGGTCCCTACGTGACCCTGAGTAGCGCATACGTCCGCAATCTTGCCTGGCTAACAACCAGCTATGCGCCAAAGTCGCCCTCTGTTTTTCAGCCGACACCCCTGCCGTGTTTTTTTTTTTGTCATGTTGCGTATTGACATACTAGCTTGGCTTGAATCCTTCACGCACGCACTGTTTGCAGTGCTCGAAGGCTGCTTTTCTGCCCGATTGACAAGATATTGCAACTGTAAAACTTGACCAAATAGCACGGCAAAAAAAAAAAAGCGACGTTTTTGCTCAGTGTGACGCGAAAAGTGCAGAGCAAACATTATCAAATTCTTTTTTTTTTTTGCGATATTCAGATATTGCAAATTTGCGGAGTTTTTGACTGGATAATGAGCGGGAACATTCAGTATTCACGTTAAGCTGGTGAAATATGCGACATTCACTGACCTTGGCGGTACATGAAATCGTTCCATTAGTCTCGGTGAGTATAACCCAATGAAGAGTTACGCCTTCAGCTTTTAGAGGGCGTAGGAGCATAACGGTAAACGCCAATTCTTACCCGATATATAGCGTACATAAAGTGATTACAGTATGACTCGCGATTTTGATGTAGCTTTGGTAGAGTACTCTGCTTTCACTCGAAAGACTCGTGTTTGATTGCCAAGTAGACGTGTATTTGTTTTTCGTATGTTTTTCTTTCTTTTTTTGAAGTTTTATGCAATAGTGGTCACGAACATCAGCGGTGGCGAACATCTACGGTGCTGGAGTCGGTACTTGCGATCTCATAAAAGATTGCGCTGTAAAATTCAGCGACTTCAACAAACCTTTCAACAGATATGAATGCGCAACAAGGAAAGTGTAATTCTCTTTTAGCATGTACTATCGTAAGGATTTGAACGCGCGAGCGCGTGGCAAAGAGCCTAAAAACCTTGAGAGTGCCGTGCGGGAATGGCGCTGCGAAAACCGGCGGGGAAAGAAGGGGTGCTCTTCCAATAACTGTTTTCACTCCCGCTTCTCTGGCGTTGCTTCCAAACGGCAGCTTATAACGTGCCATCGGCCGCAAGCAATGATAAGAGATTAAAGCATGCAGAACGTCGTAATCTGTTGCGTATAGGGTTCGGCACGAAACAACCCTGTATACCTTTACGTACTTGCGGAGAACGTCTGACAAAGATTACACCTTGACATTGTAGCGCTTGCGTAGAAAAAATAAAGTATTGTTCTTTTTGACTTTTGTGCAGTTTGCTGATCTCGTGATTCGAGAAAAGTCGCACGCTGTAGTTGGTTGAAAACATTTATTGGATGCTCCCAAAAATCGTAACAAAGTTTTATTGCGCACGATTTATCAACTAGCTTGCCCTTTTCGTACGCGTTTACTGGGCTAATAACGGGTCATGGCTCCACTAGCTTGAATTACGGCTTGCATTCTTTCTGGCAGAGACCTGTAGAGACCCTCAATGAAGGTCGTGTCAGCTTGAATATGTTTCCGCTCTTCTTGTAGAGCTTCCCACAGTTCATCGGCTGTCACCAAGTCCAAAGAAAGCTTAGGAAGGTTAGCCTTCAGACGTGCCCACACGTGCTCAATGATGTTCATGTCCGCACCCTTCGCGCACCACTCAGGGCGCATTACCCCTCGCTCATTGAAATACGTGCGACGTCCTTTGATGCATGCACGGGAGACAAGTCCTGCTGGAATGAATAGCATCCATCCGTGTGTGGCCATTCAATACAAATAGAATTATCTCTTGCTCCAGCAGCGTGCAATACGCATCACTTATGAATCTCCCGGAGATTCTCGCGAGGGGACTTTGGCCGCCGCGCGAGATAGCTGCCCAAACGTTTACGGATGTGCCACCACTTGGGGTTACCTCCTGGATGTTC